AGGGCCAGAGGAGAAGAGGGGGGAGGAGGATCAGGCCCATCCTGTCTTGAGAGTTAGATCTGGGCCAGCAAGTCCAGATCCATCCCTATCCCTGACTCCTGGGCAGGGAGGGAGCAGAAGGGCTCCCAAGGGGTAAGATAAAGAGGGGGAGACCTGAGTCCTGGGATTAGGAGGCCCTTGGAGCCAAGGAGAAAGACCTGTAGACCAGGGTCTGGCCCACAAGATGGCCGAGAGAGAAGGAGAGCAAGCAGTCAGCCACCTCATGGACACATTTCGGGCATCTGGGCCAACAGCTCAGGGTGATTGGGCCAGTTCCTCCCTCCAGGGGGACCTGAGAACCCAGAGGGGCCGTGGCCAGCAGCCCTCCAAGCCCGCGAGGCCTGGGCCTCCTGAATCCCCACCCCGGGTCCAGCGGCTGCTCACTCTCCCCCACAGCCATCTCCAAGTTTTCAGATGGCAGTTTTAGGTTCACAACAAAATTAAGGGAAAGGAAAAGATACAGGTACCCACATGTGCACGGCATCCCCCAGGGTCACACCGGCCGTCAGAGCGCTGCACGCGTTGCGCGGACGACGCTCCAGCGACGGGCTGAGCACCAGAACCCACTGTTGCTAGGCTCGCCCTGGCGCCGGGCGCCCTCCAAGGGCAGGAGACTGCGGCTCATACAGATGGCCTGGGGGGCTACATGGGCTCTGCAGAGCTGCCAGCAGGGAGTTGTGGAGCTCCCCAGAAAGGGTGGGGAGCGGTGGGCACTCAAGGCCACCCACAGGCTCTCGGCTCTCCAGGCCAGTCACTGGGGCAGTGAGGACCTAGCTGAAGACCTAGGGGAGGGCCTGGCTCGAGGCGCTGTGCTGTGGCGGGACTGTTGCTCTCTGGTCCCCTCCGTCGTCTTCATGGTTGCCCTGGGCCAGCTGTTGCGGGCAGTGATGGGGCCCTGGGAGAAGCCCTGGGGCCTCTTGATGGAAACAGTGCAGATCTGGGTTTGGTGAGCTCTGTCGTGGATGAAGAGAGGGTCGTGCCAAATTGCGCCAGGGACAATAAAGCCGCAGACGGGGCGGCAGAGACAGCCAGTGGAGCGTGCCTCTGGGAGGGACCGAGGGCAGGTCGGTAGCGGAGCCCCAAGACCCAGGTGCTCAGGGTACTCTGCTTCGTCTCGCTTGTTGAGCGATGAGTGATAAACCAACACACAAAGGAGAGAAACGAATGCGCCCCAGTCCCTTGGCGGCAACTGTCAAGGGTCACTCAAGGCTAGTGTCCACTGCCAGCATGAGGACCGCCCAGTGTGAAGGTCACACTGACCGTGACGGGGAAGGACGCTGTGGGCCCCGAGCGGGCATCCATGGGGCGCTTGTGCCTGGAGGCCATTGAAAGCAGAGAAAGTGGCCAGACCCAGCCAGTGCCAGAGGTCCTGGTGGGTTTGAAGGACCCTGGTGGCTGTGTCCCCTGGTCGCTTCTGCAAGGCAATTTGCACATGTTGGACATATCATTATTTCCATGTCACTTGAACATTTTTGATGAGACATTTGTGTATGTGTGGAGGGTGGTCCGGCGGCCCTAATCTCAGGGAGCGTGTCGGTTTCTTCCTGGCGCAGGCTCCTCGAGGTGGGGCGTGGCCGCAGCTGTGCCGTCCCCCCTCCCTGCCCCTCGTCCCCACGGTGCCCTCCCCGGGCGCTCACCGTATTCTCTCTTGTCTCGCTGCAGGCTGGTGGTTCGTGAGCACCGCTGAGGAGCAGGGCTGGGTCCCTGCCACCTACCTGGAGGCCCAGAATGGTACTCGGGATGACTCAGAAATCAACACTTCCAAGACTGGGGAAGGTAAGGGCCCTGGCCCTGGGGACAGGGGGGCAGGGAGGCAGTTAGACATCTGGTTGCCTCTGGCCCGAGGAGTGAATCCAGTTCTTCCACTTCTCCCTGGAGCCCTCAGAACCCTGAAAGTGAGTTGAGTGTGTTCTAGCCCCTTCCCTTGGGATTTCATGTCACCGAGGCTCACTTCCTACCCTAGACCTGTTCTTGCTGGCTGCCGTGTGGGGCTAAAATTAGAGGGGAATTTCCTTGGGGTATAAAACTCAGGCTTTGGCAATCTGTGGGCAGATGAGGAGGAACAGTCTCAAGGCTAGACCCCCCAAAGCTCCAAAGCGCCCTCTCGCCCTGAAAGTCCTGGCTCCTCTGGGGCACCCCATGGAGACCTGCCTTTGCCTCCCGCCCCACACTGCATGGCAGGAATGACCCCTAGGGCTGTGCGACGCTCTCCTGCTCAGGCTGTTTGGCTGGCTGAGGGTGCAGATATGGGGGCAGGTCTGTGACTCATTTCCCAGGGTTGAAGGAGCCGGGGGCCAGCTCTGGACCCAGCATCATCTCTGATTAATTCTGATCTGGCGAGATTTTTCTGGGTCTTGTTGCATCTCAACCAGCCTGCCCCTCTCCCCCGCCCCCGCCCCCGCCCCACTGGAAAGCCTGTCTGTGGGCTCAGATATTCCCCAGAGCAGCCTGCCTGAGCCCAGTGAGCTTCAGGCTCTCCCCCTTCTGCCCCCCACCAACCCCCAGTCTTTGCTGCCTGCTCCTAATGACTTCCAAACCTCCCATGTCCTGGCAGCAGGAACATTTGCCTAACGGTCAGTGGGGACGGTCCAAATGGGCATGTCCGAGCGCCAGGGGGATGGAGGCCTGCCACCGGGGCTCAGGCCACTCCAGGCCTGCCTGCCCAGCCCCATTCCATGCAGCCTGGGCCAAAATAAGCAGCACACCCTGCGCCAGCCCCTTATTCATCCTTCCCCTAAATGTCAGCCACTCGGCAGGCGCTTGGAGCCCGCCCTCCCTCCTGTGCAAGCGCTTTTATTTCAGTTCCTTGACCAGGGCTGTGGCCCCTGCAGCATATGTCCATCCACCTGTGACGAATTTCCAGAGCCTGAGCCACGTTCCTTGGGAAGGGCTCAGGGCTTCAGGCCGCGCGCCTGGTCTCGCCCGACTGCTCCCCAAGCCCTGCACCCTGTCTCGTCTCTGGTGCTTCTGTACGTCCACAGCAGTGGAGGGTCTTGGCCCCTCACACTTGTCTCCAGTCACCAGGCCCCACCTCTGCCTCATTGCACACCCCAGGCTGCTCAGCATTCACGGCACCTGGAGCAGACCAACTCTGCGCCTCCCAGAGGCCCCGCCTGGTGTGGAAAGCAGGTGGCCATTCCCGCTTCCCAGAGCAAGCGCTGAGGCTTCGCTCAGCTGCGTGCTTGTCCTCTTAAGCCTCGAGTTCCCGCCAGCCTCCTTGTCTCAGGTCTTTGCTGTGTCTCCACCCCGCTCCCCGTCAAGCACTGGGCTTGTCAGCAATGCCAGGGAAGGGTGTGTGAGGAGCGGGAGCCTCGCCTGGGAAGGCAATGCGGAGAACGAGACCTGGGTGCCAGGTGGATGTGGAAGGACCCAACAGAGTGTTGGCAGGAAGGAACCTGAGAGGCGCGTGGACACACAGTGGTGCTTTGCACAGAAGGAGCAGTAGGCGGTTGTGGAGGACGTGACCTTGACAGCCGTCAGGCAGTCAGTGCAGGTGTGCGTGAGAAAATAGGTTTCACTGCAAGCTCGCTAGGCCCTGACCCACCAGCCCTCCTGGCAACGTTCGGGCAGCTGTGAATTCCACCGTCAAGTCTTGGGCGCCCCTTCCCTGCTCCCCCCAGGGCTCAGGGCTCCGTATCCCAGGCCAGGGGTGCTGTGTCCGCCAGTCTTCTGCGCCTGCAGCCAGGGGCTAGCCCACCCCGCTCCCCTTCCCACCATGCCATCCTGAATCTGGAGCCCTGCAGGAGCCTCACCCCATCAGCCTCCCCAACAGTTCCTGCCTTGTTGCTCTGGAAAGAAAAGAGGGGGTTGGCTGTTTTGGTTGATTTCTGTTATAGACACTGCGGTGTATGTTGTGTTTCTCCTGAAGTGGGGGGTGCTGTGTAGAATACAGAGATGTTAATGCAGGAAGCCTGGGGTGGAGCTGACAGCAATAAGGGCCCAAGAGCAACACGGACCTGGGGCTTTGGTGAACTGACGGGTCAGTCACCTCTCGGAGGTAAAGAAATGGAGGCTGAGAAAGGTGTCGCCCCCGGAGTCCCCAGAGTCAAGAGCAGACCCACGGGCCCAGCCTGTGCTTCTGTACCCCAATGGCCCAAAGCCACAGGGGGCGACCTGACTTCCTTCCAGGGGGCTGGCCTCCCTCCCCGCCCCCATCCAGGCCTCTGTTATTGGCAGGTTGGGGGTTGGGGGGGAGAGGAGGTTGGCAGGAACAACACAGAACCGAGATCCAGGCCCTGGCCCGCGGCTGCTGGACCTGAGTGCTGCTGATGCAAGGCATGTGATTCGGGGTCCCCAGGCTTGTGGCTCCCGCTTCTTAACGGGATAGTGCTGACACGCTGCTTCAGTGCAGCTGCAGTGCCCTTCCAGGGGTGTAAACAGGCCAGGGCTATGGTGGCCCCGGCCTGGACACCAACAGAAGCTCCTCTGTCCCCAGGCAGCACCCAGAGGCCGGCGTCAGCTGCTCGCAGTGACTGTCTGGGGCCTGCCATGAGGCACGACCTGCTCGGCCCCGTCTCCCTTCCAGCCGGCGGGTGGCGTCAACCCGGAGAGGCTGAGGCAGAAGAGGCTTAGAGAGGGACAGCCCCGGGGACAGAGCAGCCTGGCCACGGACCCACACCTCCTGGCCTTTGTCCTGTTCACAAGAGGCGGGTCAGACAGACCACTCTCCTCCTACCAGCAAGAACTGCCAGGAGGCTTGGGCGAGGGCTGGCTCAGGTGTGTCCCTCTCCAGCCCCGGCGGCCTGGCACCCTCCTGCTGCAGTGCTGGGAGGTGGGAGCCAGATGCCCTGCAGTCCAGGGCTGGCGTCCAATCCACTCAGCGGGTGCCTGGCCCCGTAGGAAGCTGGGGCACCTGGAGGAGGGTCACAGCAAACAAAGGGGCCTCGTGCAGGACACTGCCACTGGACCAAAGGGAGAGGCCACGGGGGTGGCAGGTCCTCTGCTGTGAGGAGCCCCGAGGGTAACGGGCTGTGGAGGCGGCGGCAGGGGCCTGTGTCCGCCCGTGTGTGAGTGTGTGTGTGTGTGTGTGTGCACGTGAGTGTGAGGTTGTCTCCACATAGCAGCCTGTGCCCTGGGCTGGCAGACGCAAAGCCTGTGCCCCGCGGACTGAGTCCCACGGATGACAGGTCGCAGGGATGGAGGCAGACCGGGAGCCATAAGAGCCGCGAGCCCCAGGAGAAAGGGGCCCCGGTCTCTCCAGCGTGGGGCTGTCCGCCTGTGGCAGCAGGTTCCCAGCAGGGCTGGAGAGGGAGTGGGGGCAGCAGACAGCGGAGCGCTGGTGCGGTGGCCCTGGCAGTGTCCCTCCTGGGGCTGCAGCGACCGGCCGGGCTGGCGCCCTGAGTCCTTGCCACCTCCCAGGCCCGTGGCGGTTGCCTCTGCTGCCGCTTCCCCCACACGCCCATCATGTCGAATCTGCCCCGTCCAGCGGACGTGGGCCCCGGGGCTCGGTCCCAGACGGTGACCCGGAGAGTGTCCCTGCCCGCCCGCCCTCCGCCCCATCTCATCTCATCCTCATCTCCATTCTCTCTGCCGGTTCCTGTCGGCCGCGTTCCCACCGCCATCCCACAGTGTCCAAGAGACGCAAGGCCCACCTGCGGCGCCTGGATCGCCGGTGGACCCTGGGCGGGATGGTCAACAGGCAGCACAGCCGAGGTGACCGTGGGGCCAGCTTCTCCTCACCCGCAGCTACGCCTCTCACTAACACCTCTCCTCCTCCCTCGGCTCCGGCCTCCCTGCCCCACAGCCCCTTCACCAAGACGTACCTTTCTCTTGCCTCCTGCGGCGGGGGTGGGGGGTGTGGAGGCGGGCACTGGGAATGAGGGTGATGGGGGGGTCATGACTTAGGACTTGGTGGGGGGCCCCGTTTGCCTGGACGCTGCAGGCTGAGCCCATTGAGCGTGCACTCGTCCCACTGGTCTCTGCTCGTTTCTTCCTTCCTCTGAGCAAGCGCTCCTGGCCGGAGCTGTCTTAGCAATTACTTAGGAACAGGAAGGAGGACCGGCCCACAGCCCTCCTCTTTCAGCCAGCTGCTGAGAACTAAAGGGGAGCAAAAGCCAGACCCCTTGCAGGCTCTCACGGCAGCACAGCCAGGGGCCCCAGGTTCTCCAGCACTGGCTTGGCTCGTCAGGGGGGACTGAGCAAAAGGATTCCGGGGGGACCCTCCCCCAGATGGGGAGCTAATACATGTGCTGGTGGAGAGCTGCTAGCCTAGGGGGTCTCCAACATCCAGGAGCTTGGGGTGTGGGCAAGGATAGGGGCAGGTCTCTGAACAAACCCCTAAACATCTCCAGGGCCCCAGGCCAGTGGGTGGCCCAATTCTCCTACCTCCTGGAGAGCTTCCCCGCAGGGACAGCACAGCTGGAAGGGTGGCCTGTCCAGAATAGCGGGGGTGCTCCCTGGCTCGGGCTCCACCCCCAGAGTTGGTCCCTGAACAACTGTAAGCCCATGTTTGGGTATCTGCCTCAGCCCCAGCGGAGGAAGCCTGAACTCCGGGTGGCCGCCGCCCGGACTGGCTGGCTCAGCCCAGAGCCCTGGCTGCGAGCAGCCTCGCCTGTCCTGAGCGTGGAGGGTGTTTGGGCCCCGGAGGCTGAAGCAGGGCAGAGACCCAGGCGTGGGAACAGGCTGAATGGAAAGCACAGACTCCTGAAGCTGGGAGGGGCGACCTGCGTTACTGGGGGGTCAGGCGGGGACGTAGCCCAGAGCCCTGTGGCAGAGGAGCGTAGGACACTGGCCTGAAACCTTCCCCCACCCCCGCCGGCATCTCCTCCCAGCACCGCCACGCACCGGCCCTCCACAGCCGTCTCCACAGCCACCGGACTGGGACACAGACAGCACTGCCCCCCCCCGCCCCCCGTCCTGTGCACACACCACGGCACACACGTCCCTGCGCTCGTGCGCCACGGCGGAGGGTTCCTGGGAGGCCTACAGCCCGGTCCACATGTACGCCACCCCACCCCGCTGTGCTGTAAGTGGGCGCGCCATGCACAGGCTCACGCCGCAGCGCCTCACACCCTGTGCGCTCGAGCAGCGTGTTCACAGTCGCAGGCAGCGATGCGTGTGGACACCGATACCCAACTCAGCACGTCAGCCTGTGGTCACTCCTACATACACAGGAGCAAATGAAAGCCCACCACGTCTCTCCCTGTGTCTCTTCAATAAGAGAGCTAGAGAACACAATCTCCCAGCTCAGCCTCATGGGCTGTTAACTCAGGCAGCCAAGAAACGCTTGCACAAAGTTGGCTGGGAGAAGCTCCAGCCGAGCTGACGAGCTGACGGGGTGGGGAGCAGGCAGTGGGTCATATGTAATGAGACAAGAGGGAGGCAGCGCTTCCCCAGCGCCTCCTTTCCCTCGGCCAGCCAGGCCTTGGACTCAAAAGGCCCTTGCAGTGAGGTTGGGTAAGTTGTGGGGGCCGGGAGGGGAGCTGGGGAGACTGCTGACGGAGGGGAAAGTGTTTGGAAAGAAGAGGCGTCTGTGGTTTGGAAAGTGCAGGGCTCTCCAGCCCCTGCCTCCAGAACCAGAACAGGCCATCCCCCTCCCCCGGCCCCCCACCCATCCAGCAGGCGGCCTGGCCAGCCCTCCCTGGAGCAGGGTTGCCATCAGCCTTTGATGGCCTCAGCCTAGGCCTCCCGAAAGCCCTAGGGTGCCCCTCAGAATCCACGGCCCCCTCGCTCCTCATTCCACTTTCTGGAGACCCCCACCAACCTGAGTGATTCAGCCCCGCACTGAGGCCACTTCCACCTCCAGGCACCCCTCCATGGCCCCCAGGGCATTGTGGTCCGGGTCCAGCAAGGGTCTGGCTCTGCACCTCTCTCAGGAGAGCCTGACCCTGGGCCTGAGACCTGCACGCACATGTCTGTGTGGAGGTCATCCACACCTGAGTCAGCCTGGCGGAAAGCCAAGCCACCTGACAGACAAGTTGGAAGAGCTGGTCGGGCTGCCTTGACCCGCCTGGACTCAGGGTCCTCAGTTCTCACCCTGGAAGCTGCACAGCGACAGGGCAGGACAAGCCTCTGAGCCAGCCAGATCTCTTCTGGGGAGCCCACAAACTCCCAGACATCTGTGTTCTCATCAGCCAGGAGCACGAGCAGAACCCTTTATAGGAAGAGCTCCACTTATTGGGTGAAGCGGAAGTCCTTGGTTCTACCCACTCGGGAGTGCAGGGGAAACAGGCCACCTGCTGGCCCCGGCCACGCAGGCTGGCGCTCAGCCCCGCGCCTGCACCACGGGAGAGGGGTCAGCACCAGTGTGGCATGCGGCAGCGCTGGGCTCCTCTGATCTTCCCAAGAGAAGAGCTGTAGGTTTTCTCCTCAAAAGCGGCTCTGCCTAGGAAAACTCTTAATGATGGCTTCCTGCTCGAACCACAGGCTTTTAAAAATAGTCCAGCTGAACAAAGACAAAATGTGGAGCCCAGGACTTGCCTCTCCCTAACCTCAGAGCTCCAGATCCCCAGGGCCTGGCACTGCCCCTTGGGCCACCGCCCTGGCCAGGAGTCACCACGCCCCACTGGAAAATGGAGTGGGACCAGGGCAGGCAGGAGAGTGGAGGTTGGACTGGAGATCATGGAATTTCTCAAAGGCCCGAGTCAGAATCTGGCTGGCCAGGGTTCCGGGCATCTTGGCAGCGCCCGTGAGCATGGCTGAATTAGAACCAGGACACTGTGAGGAGCATGTCGAGGACGCCGAGGAGGGCTCGCTGGCACAGAGCCTGTGACGAGCACCCCGGGCGCACCCACCCGGCAGCCTTTCAGCTCACCAGCTCCTCCATCCATCCAGCACAGCCCGACGGGCCCCGGATCAGCAGGAAAGAAGGAGCACGAGGGCCTCCTGTTGCAGGGGCAGGGTGGCAGCTGCCCTCAGGTCCAGCTGAGGCGTGGGGGGGGGGGTGTGACAGGGCCAGTCGCCAGAGGATGGCACTAAGCACATACGCATACGGGCTGCCCACTTGGTGCCCAGCTGGGCCCTCTTTCTCTTCCTCGATCATTCACGCCCCTCTTTGGGGCACCTGCTGTGCTGGGCGCCATCTCCGTCCCTGGGGACCACCCCGCCCGAGGGGACAGCAGAGGTTGAGATCACTGGCTCTTCTCCCCACTCTCTGCTGTGTCCTCCATGAGGGCAAGCATGGGGAAGGGTTTCCCCTTCCTGAGGTCCAAGTGGCCCTCAGGTTGCTCCCCACCCAGGAAGCAGGGTGCCTGCTGCGGGCCTGGCAGGTCTAGGTGGAGGTGGACCCCGTCCGATGCAGGAGCCCTGAGCAAGGGCGTGCGCGCTGCCCGGAGACAAGCCCGGGGGAGCCCGGCAAGTCACGCGGCTCAGCTTCTGCACCCCGGCCGCCCCAGCTCTCCCTGGGGCCCACTCGGGGCTCCCTCCCAATGCCAGGGCAGCCCTGCACCGGGTGCGCAGTCACACCTGTGAAGGCAGAGCCAGCAGGTCCCCACGCTGCTGGCCAGCTCAGCATGCTGGCCTCCCAGCCCTGAGGACCACCTGCTGTGCTGCCCTCGGTCCGGTGGCCACTGTCCACTTGGCTGTGGGACCCTCCTCTTATCCAGGGGAACACCCATTCCCCTGCATCCTGGAGAAATTACACCATGAGGTAGTCAGCCTCGTGCTCAGGGAGGCTTCACTGAGGAGTTGCTGTGGAAGCTGCCAGAAGATCAGGCAGGAAGGATTTAAGGTGCTGAGATGCCAGAAGTCCAGGAGAGCAAGTCTGGGAGAGAAAATGGCGTGCATGGAGCCTCCAGGTGTTCTCAGACTTCTCAGACCTCATGAGGGACTGCTCCCCCCAGCCCTGTCTTCAGCTCGGGTTGCTTCTGAGGTGCTAAGACTCTTGGACCCCAGCAGTCTAGCTGCTGTTCTTGGGCTGGGAAGCTGAGAGCCAAGTTTCACTGCTGAGGGCTTGAGTGAGCCGCTGGAGTCCTAGCTGGCTCCCGCTGGGAGCAACTCTGAGGTCTGCTCTTTTCCTCGCCCTTCCCTGGAAAAGCCAGAGGCTACACAGTGCACCTCAGCAACAGGTAGGCAAGGCCAGTCCAGGGAAGCAAAAGGAAGAGACAGGAAGGAGGACCTACACCCCAACTTTGGGTAACTGTTTTCTTGCCTCTCCCACCTCCCACAGAGGAGAAGTATGTCACGGTGCAGCCTTATACCAGCCAAAGCAAGGACGAGATTGGCTTTGAGAAGGGAGTCACCGTGGAGGTGATCCGGAAGAATCTGGAGGGCTGGTGGTACATCAGGTAGGAGCCCCAGCAGAGCAGCAGGATGCCTCTGCCACCCTGGGGCCAGGCACAGACCCTGGCAGCAGAGCAGAGTGGCCAAGGGCACCAGTTGGCAAGACAGCAGTTTTGCACCCCCAGCCTGGGCTGGGCTGCTCCAGGTCTGCAAGCCGAACAGCTCGAGCACAGAGCACTCGTCTTGCAGATTCTCTGGGGCCACACAGAGCTGAACCACGTAGGCAGCAGCAGCGCTGTCTCTTCCTGTATGTCTGCTGACAGGGTCCAGAACATCTGAATTTGGTTTCTGCGTCCAGCCCTGGCTGCCTGGTGTGCTCTGCAGCATGGGCTGCCTGGAGCACCGGCGTCCACAGGCTTCGCTGAGGCCCCGCCTCAGCTGCAGGCTCTGTGCCTGGCTTCCGCGCTCAGGGCTGGCTCACTTGGCTCAAGAGGGTAGAGGTAAGGCTGAGTCCAGGCCTAGCCAGAGCCTCTCCCTACCTCCCCTCCACCAAGACATATCACCCTTGCCACTGAGAACCCCATTTCAGATGGTGAGTAGGGGAACAGGGCACTTTGCTGATGTTCCTAGAAGCAAATGGAACCCTATGGGCTTCGTTCATCTCACCCCTCCAAGCCCTGCTCTGCAGTCCCATCCGCCCCAGGGCAGCGAGGTGGCCTGAGCCCTCCAGAGGGTCCTGCTCACAGCAAGTGTTTCTGGCTCCTGCTGTGATTTGTCTCACAGTCTCTCTTCTCGGCCTATGGCCCATCCCACAAAATGTCCCATATCTCTGGACTCTGGAGACCACCTCCTAACACTACCTACCTGGAACCCCCATGGCAGGAACACAATTGGCCAGTGATGCAGGCACTGATGAAACACTCATGAGTCACAGTCAGGCCACCGCTGTGCTGGACATCTGGGGACCACCCCACTAGAGGGGACAGCCGAGGGGACAGTCAGGCCACTGCTGTGACCCAGACATTGTTCTTTGCTGATGGGGAGGGTGAAGGTCCCTGGCCACATGGTGTTAAACCCTCCCACAGACTGACAGGACATAGCTGTCCCTGCCCCGTGCACATGGGCTGGAGGGCTGAGGCATCCCCCGTTAGTAGGACAGAACTGGGTGCCTGGATGTGTGTTGCCCAAAGCAAGATTTTCTGTCCTAAGCAATGGAAACTAAAGCTGCCCCACAACCCAACAGCCATGTGGCCGTGTGGGGTAAGGCCAGTGGGCTCCCTGGCAGGCTGGCATCCCAGCTCCTGCCTGGAGCTTATCTGCAAGTCTGCTGGGTGTTTATATATTTCTAAAGCCACCTGCTGAGTCCCCCTGAGCTGGCTCTGCTCCTGTCCCAGGACCTCCCCCTTTAGCCAGTGGCCACTTCAACTGCAAAATCCCTTCCCAGAGGCTCCGCCTTCAGAAAGCTGCCAGACGCCCCTTAAATATGTCATTTCCCAGCATTCCAGGCTCAGCGTTGATCCTCATTTCCTGTCTTTCTTCTCCATCCCCTCCCCCACCCCCCCACACACAAACCCTCCCCCTCTCTCCATCCCTCCTTTTCCAGTTTGCTTCCCTCTGGAGTCATTCCATTCTCCAGAGCTGGAAAGCAGATGTGAGCAGAGTTAGACTCAGACACACACAGCCGCTCCTGATTCCCTCGCTGGAATCTAATTTTATCCATGCAACATGAAGAACGCAACAGGTGTTGAGGGGAGCCGTCTGGGCATTACGCAGACCTGCCTATCCCTCGCAGGAGACCCCACTCCTCACCTCTCCACAGCGTTCTAACAGGAGAGAAAGCTTCAGCCGTGGCTGGCTGGCTCATCTTTACCTTTTCTCTGCAGTGCAAGAGCACCAGGTTTAGACCAGAGGCTGCCAACAGCTGCTGTGTGGGCCTCTTCCACTTGGCAGAGCGTCTCGGAGCACTGGCTCATTTGCCCAGTGACTGTACTGGTTGCCGTTGTTGACCCCTGAAATGCTGTGCTTTGGCGTGTTCCTGTTAGGTTGGGGAGGCAGACATCTGCCTTCATCCCGTTTGCTGACTGATGTCTCCCTTCCAGGCCCAGACAAGGGCCACACAGGTGAGCTTAGAGCCACCTGCCTGCAGCGTGAACGTCAGAAGCCCCCACCTGAACTTCCAGCAAAGCTCAAGCGCATTGATAAGCTTCAGCTTCCACAGTTGCTCTCCTCCTCCTGCCGAGTGCCCGAGCACAGGGTCAGCTCCAAGAGACAGGATGGAGGCCGAGAGCAGGGTCAGCTCCGAGAGACAGGACGAGTGACCGAGAGCAGGCTCAGCTCTGAGAGACAGGACCAGTGACCGAGAGCAGGCTCAGCTCTGAGAGACAGGACCAGTGACCGAGAGCAGGGTCAGCTCCGAGAGACAGGACGAGTGCCCGAGCACAGGGTCAGCTCCGAGAGACAGGATGAGTGGCCGGGAGCAGGGTCAGCTCCGAGAGACAGGACGGGGCTGTCGGTCATCTGGCACGGAGCAGCAGTTCCGGAAGCCAGATGTGTCCCAGGGGCAGTCGGGGATACTGCACCCCAGACTCGGGGCATCGGCCAGCCGTTGCAACACCAGGAAGGCAGCTCCCGGTGGGCTTGGTAGAAGCGCAACACGGGGAAGAAAGGGAAAAGCTTGTTTATGGAAGTCACCGCGTCACCGAAAATTAAGTCGGCCCTGTCATTTGCCTTTTACTTTTGTTTAGGGATTTTTGGTTTGTTTTTCCATACCAGAGGTTTTCATTTTATCCAGTTGTGCATTTAGTCTTTTCATTTATGGTTTCAGCTTTTGGAATCCCATCCAGGATTTTCTCAAACCCCAAGATGAGGCAGATCTTTTGATCTGAATTTTTCGTTTTGCTGTAGTGTTAGGCCAGGGTCGTGCCTGTCCTAGATGGATCATCAGTGGCCCCAGATGGCTCATTAAATAGTCCAGCCGCAGCCCACTTCTGTGGACTTCCCCTGCAGCTGCCGGCCTCCCCTGCAGTGACCCACACTTAGCCACTCTGTGCAGACCCTTCCCACTAAGTGCTCCCCACACGTCTGTCCTGGACAAATTCGCAGCTACTCTAGCCCTGCATTTTACCAAAAGGGAAAAAATGAGTTTCAGGGGCAGGTACTGTAGTCCAGAAAATTCCGCGTTGCTCTCCTGTGCTGTCCCTCCCTTTCCAAGCCACCCTTTCTCACGTCTCACCTCTAGATCCTGCTGTACAGATTGCGAGGTGTGGGTTGTGCCGTCTACCCAGTGGGCAACCCACAATGGAAGGAATTTTCTAATGCTGAGATCCCACATTTGCCTGACTGCAGAGAAAGAGAAGCTGTCTCAAGAGGGATCAGGCAAAGAAAGGGAGTATGGGGGAGAGAACCTGGGTGTCTCTTCCCCCGCCCTCAGTTCCACTTGTCTCCAAAGTAGTGAGATTCACAAACCCCTTCCAGAACACAGCGGAGCCTCAGCTGGGTGAGGCCAGATGGGGCCTGGGGCCTGGAAGGAGGCAGTGAAGCCGAGCATGAGCATGCTGACGACGCCCTGTCTGTTCCTCCCCAGATACCTGGGCAAAGAGGGCTGGGCGCCAGCATCCTACCTAAAGAAAGCCAAGGATGAGCTGCCAGCCCGGAAGAAGAACCCGGCAGGCCCAGTGGAGATCATCGGGAACATCATGGAGATCAGCAACCTGCTCAACAAGAAGGTGGCGGGGGACAAGGAGACCCCGCCGGCCGAGGGCTCCGAGGCCCCGGTCGCCAAGAGGGAAATTAGCCTGCCCATCCTCTGCAACGCCTCCAACGGCAGTGCCCTGGGGGCCCCCGAGAGGACCGGCTCCAAGTTGGCCCAGGGCTCCCCAGCTGTGGCCAGGATTGCCCCTCAAAGGGCCCAGATCAGTAAGCGCCTCACCTAGCCCCGGACCCTGGTTGCAAAGCTCTTTTTCCAGTTGGCAAGAGGTGCAAGGAAAGCCATAAGGTGTGCAGGGCCCCATCTTCTTCCTGAGATAGACTGACCCCTGCCGCTGGAACTGTTGTCTCAAGCGAACCCCAGAATGCACAGAGCAGTTCCTCCCAGATCCTCCACTGGAGCTCAGTTACTTGAATGTAGGTGCTGGGAGCATTTCCTCCTTCCCTGGAGCCAGGAGTGGCTGCTCTGCAGATAAGTGGGGTTCCCCAGGCTGGGGCCCTTCTGGCAGGGCTGCTCTCTGGGGGACAGGGGAGGTACAGGGGTGAGGTATGCCTTCCTGGGCCTTCCTCTCACGCCCCACCCCCGTCACTTTCCACATTCCTGGAAGCTAAAAGGATTGGAGGGGGTGGCTTTTCCTCTCTCCACAGTTTTAAGGGACATTCTTCAGGAATCTCCTTTATTTTACAGAAGAAACCCAGAGCTCAGCCACCCTCCAAATCTCTGCACCCCAGGTCACTAATGCCTCCAGTGGAGGGGTAAAGTGTCTGTGGGAAGGGAGTGTTTGCACCCAGCTAGCCTTCGAGTCTGCTGGGAAACTGAACTTAACTGAAGTTAAGTTAGTAGTAAGCAAAAGACACACAATTTCTGCACCTCTGAAAATCTCATCAAGCTGTCTACCCTTTCGTCTGAGAAATGCCACCGTCCCCACTTTGAAACAGGCACCATGTTAGAGGACTCGCGGGCCCCTGGCAGTGCAGCCGAGAAACCTAAAGGTCTGCGGTTTCCAACTAGGCCCACAGTGGCTGGAGCTGGGGCCCTTCCTCAAGGTGGGGTGAAAGCACGGACTGCCAGGATCAGGAGGTAGTCACCCCAGGGAAGGGAGCAGAAGCATGGGACTTTCGGGCCAGGAGTTCTGAAGCCTTATTTCTTCTAGGCTCCCCAAACCTAAGGACGAGACCTCCCCCTCGGAGAGAATCCAGCCTGGTATGTGTGTGCACTTTTGTTTCTTTTCTGGGGGTACACTGTAGCAGTCCCCCTTAGTTGAAGTCTGTTCTTCCAGAGGTTTCCCAGGGCCCCCCAGAGGCCTCCAGCTTTGTCAAGCCGAGAACAAAGGGAAGCTGCAGGTCCCAGCCTTTCTGGGGGCCTGGCTGGATAGAATGTCAGCGAAGACTCACTGCAGTCCAAAGCAAAACAAATTCACCCTGGCCACTGCGCTGGCAGACATAAACATTTAGACTGACCGGCAAGCGTGTCCGGCCAGGGCATTGCGGGGGGCTGCAAGTAGGACTGCTGTCCAGGGACCCTGGAAGCCTCTCAGCTTTGCTTTCCCTGCTTGGGACCGAGATGGATGAGGCGCTACCACGGCCCGGAGGCAGAGGGTAGACTGTGTCCTCCAGGAAGCGGGTGAGTGGCAGGAACTGGCTTATGCTTCAGCTTAACGAGTCTGTTGCCGGGGTCCCTGGCTCTGTGGGTGGGCTGGCTGGCAGCGCTGCCATCAGGATGATAGGGCTGGGGCGGCAGTGAAGGGCTGGCAGGCTGAGGGCCCTAGGAAGCCTGGGCCTTTCAGCCTGCTAGGCGTGACTCCATCTTCCACCCCTTCCACTCACTTAAAAACAGCGAGATCCTGGCAAGTTATTTGAACACCCCCTCCCTCACCTGTGAGATGGGGACAGACCCCGCTGTCTCCTAGGCCTGTTGGAAGCAGCAACTGAAATATGTGGAGACGGCTTCCTCTGTCAACGGAAGCCGTTGGAAGGACTACCAGTTTGTGTGGGGGAGGAGACTTCTGTTGTCACATCTGGGCTTGCACCAGGGCTATTGCGCCCGGTGACATCTGCCCTGGGGCGAGACCAGCAGCAGGCCCTGGGAGAGCCGGATTTGGGCCCTGGAGCTGAGACCGTCCTCGCCCCGGCTGTCAGGCCCAATGGAGCTGTCTCTCAGAGGGGGCTCATAGCTTACATGATTCTCCTTTGCCCTCATCTCTTTTAGCCCCAGATCATTATTTTGAAGCAGACTTAATTTGGCAAAAGTGGACTGATTTTCCTTCTACACTTACCCAGTGCTGGCATGACTTGCTGCTTTCAGTTAGGCCTGGCTGAATCCCACCTGGCCCAGGCCACATCTGCTCAGGTGGATGACTGCAGGCCCAAGGCAGGGCAAGGGGCTGAGTCATGTGTGGTCCCTGAAAACAGCTTCCCTGCCTTTTGCTTACTCTGAGCCGGGCCACTCTGCTGTGACAGGCCAGAGCAGGACATGCTGGGCCTTGAAGGACAGGAAAGTTCATAGAAGCAAGAGTGTTTCCGGAGGAGTATTCAGCTTCAGCTTCTACAGAGCAGCCAGGCCAGCCCAGAAGTCTGTGCACTGTCTCAGCCCTTCATGACCCCGTTCCTAGTTCCACTTTATAGATGAGGAAACAGGCTCATGAGGGTCAGGGTCACTACCGAAGGCCATGCGTCTGGAGAACTGCTGAGCTGGGGTTGGAGCCCACGTGTGCCCAGCTGAAAGGCAGATGTCTTTGGAGATCTTCCTAACCACCCCCTCATTCACACCACATTTTTAAAAATGTTTTAGCTCCTTTGTGCAATACCAGCACACATACTAGAAACAGTGGGAGGCAGGAAGTCTAATTTGGCCTGGAACGAGACCTCAGTGAAGCTTGTAAGGGCAATGGTTGTCTTTCTGGTCCACTATTGGGTGCCCGGTGCCTCTGACCACTGTTGCTGCCCACTAGACACATGCAAAAACATCTTTGTAAAATAAATGATGGTCCTCCCGGGTGGCACAAAGGGTCAAAGCACAGCACTAGGAAGCTATCCGCAGTCACTGCAGCGTAAGTTCGATCCCTGGCCAGGGAGCTGATCCACATGGCACAACAGACCTCTCCTGTCTCCCCGCTGCTGCCCTCAGCAGTATATGTAAATACATCTGCCTATTCTGCTCCCCACTCTGTCTCTAGCGAATCCTCTCACCCCCACACCTCTCACCTGTACCCCGGTTCTATATGCATAAATAAATAAATCACAGGCAGGGCTGCCGCTGCATTCTACACAGCCTTAAATACCACACTTAGTCACTGATGTGCTTGTGTAAACAACACTTAGGTGCCCAGCACAGCCCCCAGAGCACAGGACCCCGAGTTTTCTTCACAGCTTGCCTCGCCATTTACCATCATCAGCATGACCCACCAGAGGCTTTGCTCACCCAACCTGTGCGTCCGGACACTCCCACCCCACCCAAAGGGCTCTGCCTCCACACACCTCTCACATCACACCTGCCCCTAAATGGCAGCGGGCACAGGTTTTGTTACAGTGATCTCCCTGCCTTTTAAGTTTTATTTTGGGACTTGCTGAGACATCTGAAAACCAAACTTCCAGAGAGTAAAGGGTGGAAATTGTGTTATCGGATGGTCATTTGGACAACTCAGGTCTCAGATGAATGAGGTATTGCTCGAAAGCTTGGTCAGGAGAGCAGCCTCTGGGGAGGCGCTGAGACTCAGGTAGTAGGTAGGTGCTTCCCCTGTGAGCTGCCCTCAGCAGCGCCTTACTCCCCTCCCCCCAGTGTGATTCTACCACACTGAGCTGTTCTCTGCCCTAGGGGTTCCAGCTGCCCAAGCCTCCAGAGCCCCCTTCTGTTGAGGTGGAGTACTACACCATTGCCGAGTTCCAGTCGTGCATTTCTGATGGGATCAGCTTTCGGGGCGGACAGAAAGCAGAGGTGAGCCTTCCAGCGCAGGGCGAGGGTAGAAGACCTACACATTCCCCACTTATGTCCTGCTGGCAACACTCCTGAGAGGCAGGTAAAGGTGCGAAACAAGACGCGCGGTGAGGAGCATAGCGCTGCCACAGTCAGGACTGGAGCCGGACGGCATCTTCACTCAGTGCCGCCCTCATGGCGCAGTCCCCAAGCGGGGTGCAGGGCCTAGAGGGGTCTGAAACTAAGGGCGTCTGTGGTCAAATGCGTTCGGAAGACAGTGAGTTACACAAAATCCAACCGGTTCTGTTGTTTTCACTGCAGAACTTGTCAGCCTGTGATATGGGGGTGAGACTGCTTATTGGGGAGAGGCCAGGCCCTCTCGCACAGGGGCTCCTGAACACCAGGATTTGGAAGAGCCAAATCTAGAGGAAGTGCCGCTATTGAGAGAATATAGTCCAGCACGTCCTGGAAGGTTCTGGAGGTCCTGGGGACCAGGTCCTGGCCTCTCTCACCACAGTCACCTCTGGTACTTGACCCAGTCACTTCTGGCAAGCTCTGATGATTTCTGCAAGACGGGATCCTAGCATGAGTGGCCGTGTCTTCGCATTTGTGAAATTCTACTTTGTAGCCAAAACTGAACATGGCATTTGAGGCACAGAGAAGGTCTGTTACTGATCATTTCTCTTGGTAGCTCTGTGTAGTAATGGAGTTAAAGCCCCCTAATGCTTATAAAACTGTCAGAAGATCAGTTGAGTGTTCTGTGCTTACTGGTGATACCCTTAGTGTAAGTGTTTTCATTCACAGATCTGGAACCCCCAACCAAATTTTCACAAGATCCTCCAGTGGTGTCCCACAATCCAAAACTACCTCCCCTTTTGTTCCCCAGTTCAAATGAACCCCAACACAACCAGCAACCTTGAGCCAGTCTCAAGTAACAGTTGAGAATAAGAAGCTCCTTGAACTGGTTTTATAGCGACATGAAATGGCTCTGAGTCCCTCACCCTTTCACAGGAAGTCATTCAACCCAAAGAAATCTCTTTAGCTAGGGGGTTTCAGTTGGATTCCACATGCAGTAAAGTAACCACGGGGGAGTAGGGGGAACCAGACAGGTGCTCTGACCCACCTGTGCTGCTCACCTACATCTCCCCATTCTCTTCTAACCAAAGAGACCCCTTCCAGAGTCGCCAAGGGAGGCCCTCGCAACGATGTAGCTGGGAGGAGGCAGAGTGGTGGAATAGCCGTTTTATAATACGTGTGGGTTGGTGTCCTTGGGGACTAGGAACAGTGCATTAAGAGCAGTGGCCAAGGAGCAGAAGCAGGGTCTGCAGGGGAGGCCCATCCAGCCAGGGTGTTGACGGTGCTGACGGAGGATGCGAGGAGAGGGTCTTGGAGGACAGGAATGTGTCCTCCCACCCCCCCACCACCAACTAGATGACAGAGACCTGGGTTTGAACTGGCCACCACTTACTAGCCGTGGGCTCGGTTTGCTCACCTGTGAAGTGGAGTGCCCTCAGAGCCAAGGGGGAAGTTCCTGGCCCGCACATAGTGGGGTCCAGCGGTCATCCCAACTCACCGGGCTGCCCTCCCCTTTCCCTAGGTTATCGATAAGAACTCAGGAGGCTGGTGGTACGTGCAGATCGGTGAGAAGGAGGGCTGGGCCCCTGCATCCTACATCGATAAGCGCAAGAAGCCCAACCTGAGCCGCCGAACGAGCACACTGACCCGGCCCAAGGTGCCCCCGCCGGCCCCCCCCAGCAAACCCAAGGAAGCTGAGGAGGTGCCGGCGGGTACAAGTGAGAGCCAGGACTCCCCCCTGAAGCTCAAGTATGAGGAGCCCGAGTATGACATCCCGGCCTTTGGCTTCGACTCGGAGCCAGAGCTGAGTGAGGAGCCAACAGAGGACAGCGGCTCTGGGGAGAGGCGGCCCACCCAGCCCCACAGGCCCTCACCTGCCTCTTCGCTGCAGCGGGCCCACTTCAGGGTGGGCGGGTCTTCCGAGGACGTGGCCCTGGAAGAGGAGACCATCTACGAGAATGAGGGCTTCCTGCCGTGTGCAGAGGACGCCCTGTCAGCCAGGCGCTCCTCCCGGGACAGTGACTCCCCTGGGGGCTCCCCGCTGTCCCTCGCTAGGAAAAACTCCCCCAAACCAGGCTCCCCCAAATCTTCCTCCCTTCTAAAGCTCAAGGCGGAGAAGAATGCCCAGGCAGACCTGGGGAAGAACCACTCCTCGGCGTCCTTCTCCTCGTCCATCACCATTAACACCACCTGCTCCTCTTCCTCCTCCTCCTCCTCCTCCCTGTCCAAGAACAGTGGTGACCTGAAACCCCGTTCTGCCTCGGACGCTGGCATCCGCGGCACTCCCAAGGTTGGGGTGAAAAGGGACGCTGACCTGAAGGCCGGACTGAGCTCCTGCACCCGGGCCAAGCCTTCGGTCCGGCCCAAGCCATTTCTGAACCGAGCAGAGTCCCAGAGTCAAGACAAGATGGACATCAGCACTTTACGGCGCCAGCTGAGACCCACGGGCCAGCTGCGGGGCGGGCTCAAGGGCTCCAAGAGCGAGGACTCCGAGTTGCCCCCCGAGACGGCCTCTGAGGGTCAAAGTGAAGGGTCCAGGAGGGGCTCCGCCGACCTCATCGCCCTCCCAGCCGCCACACCCCCGTGTCCCACCCAGAAGGGCCGGGAAGGGCAGGCCACCACCTACCTGACGTGCAGCGCCTACCAGAAGGTCCAGGACTCGGAGATCAGCTTCCCCGAGGGCGTGGAGGTGCAGGTGCTGGAGAAGCTGGAGAGCGGCTGGTGGTACGTGAGATTCGGGGAACTGGAGGGCTGGGCCCCCTCCCACTACTTGGTGCTGGGTGAGAACGAGCAGCCTGACGCCTCTGGCAAAGAGGCGGTAACCGCCAAGAGCAAGCAAAACGAGGGCAAGTCTGACAGCCTGGAAAAGATTGAGAAGCGGGTCCAAGCGCTCAACACCGTCAACCAGAGCAAGAGGGCGACGCCGCCCATCCCCTCCAAGCCCCCCGGGGGCTTCGGCAAGACCTCGGGTGCTGGCGCAGTGAAGATGAGGAATGGCGTGCGCCAGGTGGCAGTGAGGCCCCAGTCCGTGTTCGTGTCCACGCCCCCCAAGGACAACAACCTGTCCTGCGCCCTGCGGAGGAACGAGTCTCTCACGGCCACAGACGGGCTCCGAGGCGTCCGCCGGAACTCCTCCTTCAGCACTGCGCGCTCCGCGGCCGCCGAGGCCAAGGGCCGCCTCCCCGAACGGGCCGCCAGTCAGGGCTCCGAAGCCCCCCGGCAGCCCACCCAGCGCAACGGCATCCCCGTGTCCCCTGTGCGCCCCAAGCCCATCGAGAAGTCCCAGTTCATCCACAACAACCTCAAAGACGTGTATGTCTCGATCGCAGACTATGAGGGAGATGAGGAGACGGCGGGCTTCCAGGAGGGGGTGTCCATGGAGGTCCTGGAGAAGAACCCCAACGGCTGGTGGTATTGCCAGATCCTCGATGGGGTGAAGCCCTTTAAAGGTTGGGTACCCTCCAACTACCTTGAGAAAAAGAACTAGCAGAGGGCATGGGTCCTTCTAGCCTCCATGTGGATGAGTAGTGAGCTGAAGACAAAAGGGAAAGGGGAGGGGGGAGGGGGGTGGGGGGAGACCAACCTTAAACCCTGCAGAATATGTGTCCTCAGATGCCCCCTCCAGTCTGTCCCCCGGAGGGAAGGTAGGATCTGGAGGGGACACACCTCATCAGGGATGGGCAGGGGGGCCCCAGGCCTGGGACCAGAGGCCCGTGTACACTCTGATGACTTTGCACATGGAGCCATCTGGGAGAGGCCACGTGAGCCACCCCAGCTGCGCCTGGGCTGCGGATCTGGAAAGGATGTGGCCGTGGGGACCTGGCCAGTTTCTGCTACCAGCGTCTTGCCCCGAGGTAGCCCTTGACATCCTGAGCTGCACTTGGGATGGTGCTGGTATCTCAGGAGCCACCATGCCCACGGGGTGCGTTGGGTGCGTTGGGAGACAGCGCCGAGTCTGGCGTTTGGAGGCAGCTCCCGGGAGCGCAGCCTGTCCCTGGGCCAGGCCACTGTCTCTGCCTGTTTGTTGAAGTCAAAGCAGTTCTGCGAGTACCAGCAACAACCCCGAGCTGTCACCACCCTGACCTTGACAGAGCCTGCCCACCCTGGGGAGGACCACCAGCCCTGGCGTTCGCCGAGGGTAGCAGCAAAGCCGTCGGGCTCTTCAGTCTGCACAGACTTTATTTGGATATTTCTGGGGAGAGGAGTTTTCCTTTGCATGTTTTCGAGGAGGTTTATTGATTTGGGGTGTCTGTTGAGCCTCAGGTTTCGGTGTTATTTTAGGAATTGGTTGGGGGCCTAAGGGCGGTCAGCCTCACAGGAACGGGATTGGTAGAGGACGGGCTCTTCTGTCCTACTCTGGTGGGGAGGTGGTTTGTTTTATGTTTCACGGTTTTCCTTTCCACAAGCCAAAGTCGTTTTGTTTGCTTTCCACTGTGTGGGCAGTAGCGAGCGTTCCGCTTGCTGGAGGGGCTGGGGCTGCGGAAGCCCCAGAGCCCACAGTGGCGAAGCAGACACTGTCTTGGAGTTCTCGGTGGGCAGCCCTCTCCCCAGGAGGGAGGAGGGTTTGTTCCAGAGAGAAGACGGCTCCCTCTGCCCATCAACAGCCTTCTACGTTAAGTTCTCCCACCCATGCAGGATCGCAAACTTTGTATGTAAACTGTGGAGAAGCAGCCATTGCCCCAACCCTGGGCTCTGGGGACCCCAACTGGGCCCCCTGGGGCCAGACTGGAGCACCAGCCGCCCCCTACAGGACTACAAGCAATGCCACAGGTGCCCAAAGAGATGGAGGATGCCCTGGCCAGGAGCCGACCTGGTCTTCCCGAGGGGCGGTGCCCCTGAAAGAGAAGCAAAAGAATAAAGTCCCTGTCAACTTTGGGTTGTGTCTTTCGATCGTTGAGATTTCAGAGGGGGACCCTCTAAGCCGAAGTGGCTGTTCACCAAGGACTCACCCTTGCTGGGAGTGGATTTCCACACGTGCCTTTGATTTCAGAGAGAGAGGCTTCGCGGCCATGGATTCAGCTTCCAGAATACTGGACTAAGGCTTGGTGTTCTCCACGGAGGAGGAGAGGCCTTCCCCACCCCTGCTGTCCATCCAGGCAGAATACTCTGCCTCAAGATCAGCCCGGACCCAGCGTCCTGGTGCATTCTACACCCCCGCGCCCAAGGCCTGGCGCTGCCGTCTGCCCTGGCCCCTCCATACACTGAAGACTGGCAGCTCAGCAAACTGCGCAAGTTCTTTGTCGAAGGGCGGGCCACGATGAGATCATTTTGTTTCCTTTTGTTTTGTTTGTCAGTTTGTTTAACCTTGAAATTAGTTATTTTCTTCTGCTGGACAGTATTAATTAAATAGAGCAGGATGTTGAGTTAATCTGCTAGATTGCAGTACTAATGGTAGTGGTTTAGTGTCTTCATAGTATTATTATTTGGACTTATTTGAACAATAATGATAAAGAAGTGGTTCATTATTTTTTAATTAATGCACTTTAAATAAGGTAGAATGGAAAGAAACCCTGAGAGCAAAGTGCATTACTTAAAGATGCAGTATATACTTTTCTCATTTTTAAACAGCACATATTTATTAAAAGAAAAAAAGTAATTTATGATTATTTAAAATAAAATTTAAAAGTAGAGTGACTGTCAGGTTAAAGGACCTTCCACGTAGCTATCTCCCGGGGGAGGGCCCCAGTGGCCTCCTCATGTCTGCACTGAGCCAGTTCAGTCAAGTGCCAGCCAGGCCAGGAAGGAGTGCAGGACACAGCTGCCATGCGCAGAGCATCGCAGTTGGACTGGACCTCAGTGCTCCCAGAGCCTGCCTTTCCCTGCCCTTCCTCACGGTCTGAACTGCCCCATGGGGCCCTCCACCACCCCAAGCCCATGTTCTCCCAGTCCCCCAGTGCTCTAAGTGGTAGTCATTAAACGTGACCTTGAGGGTCTTTGCTCCTGTCCTATTACTGCCAGCCCAAAGACAGAAAATTCCTTTCCACGAGTCACGTGGCCAGTTCGCGGCAGAACCCCCCACTACAGCAGTCCTGCCCTCCCTCCCCCCGCCCCGCCCCGGTGTGGTGGTTTAGCGTATGGTCGTGTGTTTACATTGTGACATCCAGCCCTCAGGATGGCTCGGAGTTGCTCAGGCATCCAGGAGAAGTGGGAAATGCTACCACCTGGTGACAGCATGTAGATCTGGGCAGTGAACAGGGATTGCCACGCCCCCTCTTTACACATCACCCCTCACATCACCCCCTAACTCACAGTACAGCACAACCCCAAAGAGAATAGTAATACTTGAAGCTAGAAGGGTGCGTGCCAGTCCCTCTCAGTCACGGCCAGGGAGTGCCGGGCCTTGTGCCCCTGGGCCCCTAGCCCTACCCAGGGCAAAAGACCTTTCCCTAGAGCTACTGAGCTGCTTTATAGTGTTGGAGATACTGCGGGCAGCAGTGGAGAGGGCAGGGGCCTGTGGCTCTGACCCATATGGAGGAAAACCAGATCGGACTAAACATGGAAAAATAAAAATGAAATCTCAGCAGTGTCCAAACCTAGTTCTCCATTACTTGTGATTGAAAATGTGAAATGACATCGTATTGCTGTATACTGCAACTTTAATCATAATGAGCCCTTCTGAGGTCATTATTGAGGTTTATATAATGCCCGAAGCCGCATCATTTGGTGCTTTCCTCTTTTCAGTTTAAACTCTTTTCTTGCGTTACAAGGGGGAAAATGTCTTCATCTCTCTCCCACCTTCTAACAGGCCTGGCCGGGCTCCCGGGCCCACCATGCTGTTGCCTGTAGGCCAAGGGGGTAGCAAGAGGGAGCTGGGGGTGCAGCCCTGAACTGCAGGTAAGTGGCCTGCCCTCAGGGCTTCTCTCTGGGGGCTGTGGCAGGAGAGAGCCGCACCCACCCTACCTGGCCCCGGAGCCTTCACTGTCTTCCTCCGTTCTGTCTTGACGAAGGCATTATATAGAATCGTTTAATCACTTCCAGATGTTAGAGCAGCCTATTTTACTGGCATTTATATCCATCGCTTTTCTCAGCAAGGCATGTTACTACTTTTATCATCTAAGGAGAAAATACAAGGGAATTTCGGTCAAGCATTATTTTCATATTACTAGTATTTGCGGAGTAGGCGTAGAACTATTTAAGTTTAGACCTTGGTTTGATAGTTTGTTGTTGTTTGTTTTTTAAGGAAAGAAAAGATAAAGTAACCCCTATTTTTTTTTTCTGGTTTTGTATTTAATATATTATTTCTTTAAGGTTACTCATTTCTCCCACCCTCTCCAAATACTTTGCATTCTCAATCGAAAATGAAAACAATCTGAGAGACAGGAAAAGTGCAATATTATCAAGAGGGATGCCAAGGATTGTTGGGATAGGGTGGGAGGCCCAGGGGCCCAGGGGCAGGGGGAGGTCAGAGGCGGGGTGCTGGGTCACAACAGGACATCAGACAGGTGGCCCGGTAGGTAATGATCTCTAGCCTCTCTTCGCTCCCTCCCTCCGTCCTCACCAGAGAGCAGGGGAACCCTGCAGAGGGCAGCCCCTTTTCCTACTGGGTCTCATCTGCCCAGAAGAAAGGGATTCAGGGAAATGGCCTGGGATTTTCAAGGCTTCCCAGGGCCCTAGCCCTTAGAACAGGGCAAGGGTACCCAAAAACCCTTCCTGGTTTTCACTCATGCTATTTTTCAGCCAGCTGCTCAGAAAGATCTGCCTAAAAGTCACCCCCGGCAGCCCCCTCACCCCAGTCTGCTGATGTTTGGGCTATGACTCTTTTGATGTATGTCTGAGTCTTTCTAAAACTATGTAACCTCAGTTCAGTTTATGGGCTGGAACCCTAGATGTAACCAAATCTTTTTGAGGGGATGTGGGTGCTTACATTCCCCAGTCAGACATCAATTCTCACAAGCCTGCAGCGGGTCTGTTGTGCCTCGGCCACCCATTCATCTCAATTTTAGCTTTAGGAGTGAGCCCTGCCTCTGTGAAGCACCCCCAAACAGTCCCAGAGGCCCCCAGAGAAGTTTGAAAGGACCACACAGTTCTCCGCAGATAGACCCCTCCGCCTAACTGGTGCCAGTAGAGAAGCAGCGGGACTGGCAGTCTCTGGGCGTGAGCCCTCAGAGTCCCTCCTGCCTCCAGTACCATAGCTTGCTGCTCTGGCCCCTCTACAGGAGAATTTGCGGGGATGCAGCTGCATGCCCAGAGTGAGACTAGCCCATAGGGAGAAGTCCAGGAGTTGGGGGTGTCTTTCCTCAGCGAGTATATGTCTATATGGCCAAACTGAGAATCTCCATGCAGCACTCTTTGGAAAGAATCATCCATATCACTAAAATATTAAGATTCCCTCACTTTTTTGAGGGCTGTGTGTTGTTGAGAAAGTGTGTGTAAGTGCGTGTGTGGTGTGTGCACTCTTGCATACACACGTGTGAGTTGGTGATTTCCCACTTGAATGAAAGAACATGGGGTTGGAGAAAAAATTACCATCAAGCAAGTCCTTGGCCCTGGGCAAGCCCCGTGGGACTGGCAGCTCTGGCAGCAAGTGTGTGTTACTCACACACGTGATTCTGGCTGGAGAGTGCAATGTGTTTGGTTTGGTAATTATTTGTATTAAGTATTTAGTTTGAAACTTCACACTGGCGTTAACAGCTCTAGTGGCAGCAGCCTAGGCCAGTCCTGGCTCCCACAGGAAGTACCGAAGAGCTGCCACTGGGCCACTGGGTGTGGAGGCGCTGTGGTTAGCTGGGGGGGCGGGGGGTCCCCCTGCAGAGGTGCTAGCTAGCAAGGGGCTCCAGCCATTCCCACACAAGGGCCCTGGGCTCCTTCCAGAATAGAAGCTGCCGGCCCTTGGCGTTGTGTCCGAGGCCAGGGCAGGGAGCGCTGGCTCATGGTGGGCTCAGCAGACCTGCATGTGCACCTGCCTCACCACCGGAGTCCAGACTGCACCCCGACGAGCGCCTCGTGGGGAGAGGGGAGAATGCTTCCCTTCATCCTGGCTTTTGCCTGTATCATGATCCCTTTGGGGAGAACCGTCATGCTTCAAAGCATCAAAGCCAGTGACAGAAACGGAGTCAGTGACTTACCGCCTTGTTTCAGGAAAAAAACAGTTCCACTGATCACGTCCCTTCTGTTTCGCCCTGTGCACCGAGCCCCCAGGCCAGAAGTTGGGTATGTGAGTGCTCATGGACTGGCAGGCTCTCTCCAGGCCTTGACCACAACCTACCTGGGAGATGGTACCATGCGATCCCTCCTCCCCAATCCTAGCTTCTTGAGTTTGCACTTGACTTTGACAATCAGTGACTATCAACCTCCCCTCCCACCCCAGTCCTAGAACGTAGTGGCCTTAGAAAATGGGCCCCTGTGCTGAAGGACCTGCCTTGCTCCCAGTTCCATCCTGGCTAATAGACTCAGGAGGCGAGAGAGAGAATTGGTTTAAAGCAAAAGGACAGACTGAGCAAGTTGGAGGTGAGTGAGAAGCACGTTGGCGAGATGAGCGTGTGCATGTTTGGGGTGGCTGGGGCCTACCAACCCTTCCCTGGGAAGGAGGCTTCCAGAAGAGGATGTCTTGTAGGCAGAAGAGAAAAAGTAGAAGTCTAAGAGAGGGTGTAGAGTCTGGCATTTGTCTTTACTAGAAAGAAGTAAATTTTGTTTCAGGAGAAGAGTGCGGTTAAGGAGGGAAGGTACTGATTTGCCATCGAGGGTCCAGCCCGAGAAGGTTGGAAAAACCCCAAGATTAGGCCAGAGAAGAAGTGGGACAGCTACTTGCTAGGTCACAAGCAGAGTCCCCAGCAGGTTTCTAATAAATCACTGACTTAGTGGAAGGGGGATTTGCCAGTAGCAAACCAATCTTTTGAGTTTAAGGCCTTGGCTCCAGAACACTCTCCATCTCCCAGGTTTGCCCACTTCTCATTGTCCAACCCAGAGCCAGCCTCCTAGGTTGCCTGATTCAGAGTCTACTGATGGCAACAGGCCATGTAGTATAGAGCCCTGACTCCCAAATGGACCCGAGTCCAGACCCCATGAAAGGAAGACCCCGAGAGGAAGGCCATCTCATAACTGCTGACACCAGGATCTCCAGTGACATCTGCAGTGGCTCAGGTCACTAGGCCTGCCTCGCGGCCTAAGGTGGCCAGTCCAATGCACTCTGCACATGGACAGGCACCTCACGTGTGACCTGTAACCAAGGTACCTCTCAAGAGTTTTAACCCCCCAAAGAGAAGGGTAAACAGAAGCCACCGTTCTTTAATCTGGGTTTTCTTTAAACCCAGGACATGGGATAGGGAAAGGATTTACTGAGGTCTGCAGGAAAGTGACTTCCGAGCTGCAGGTGTGAATGGCAGGCCCCTGGGGAGTGGGAACTTGGACTGCGCGGGCCGAGGCAAGCTGCTGGGTGTCTGATGGGGCTCCAGGACTTTGGGGAGCTCCTCGTGGTGTCCACTCAGCTCCTCCCAGCTCCTGGTATGCTCTGTGGGGTCAGGAGGAGGTTGCACCCTCTCCTCCCTCAACAGAACAACTGAAGAAAAGGACACTGAATTTAGGATGGTCAATTTGGTGCTAAACTATTTTCATGTTTTTAGCATTTTTAATAATAGGTTTTTTTTTAAATGTTCTCATCACAAAAATGCAGTGTCCATGGGGAAGAGACCCAGCTCCTTGGCCTGCCACTTTTCAGGCGTCCTTTATCACTCAGACGGAACTCGTTGGTCTGCAGAAAATGCTCTGTTTTGGCATGCTTCTAGACTGTAAAATTTGGGTTTTCTTTTGTATTTTATGTTTACATGCATCTTGTATTTCCTTGAAACTAAATAAAGTTTTTGGCCTTTTTAACTGAACAGAATCATCTCTTGCCGCCAGAAAACCCATCCAGCTGAATGGCAAAAGCCGCATTATCCTGAATGCAGGGTGAACTGCAGAGCAGGTGTGGGCGGCAAGTAAGTTCCCAGCATTACTGGTGAGACTGGTACGCAAGCTCCTCCCCCAACCCCACCTGTGGGAAGGGGGCACTCTGAGAAGTGAGGCCAAGGCTTTGGGAGATGCAGCTCTGAGGCCAGAGACCCGCCGACCCTTCCCTGCTGAGCTGGACTCGGGTGAGCAGGGCCGGAAGGCCTGGTGGACAAGCAGCCCTCGCTGTTCCAGGCAGAGGCTAGGCAGCCGGAGTATGGTGCTGGAGAGGAGGGAAGCAGTCACCCCTGCCTCTGAGGCCTGGCCTGGTGAACATGGCTCCCTCGTCGTGCCTAGATGCCCCTTGCCCAGCCCAGCTCTGTAGCCAGCCAGACGCACTCAGCCCACCTACAGTTTCTCTAAAGGTCTCTGTGCAGAGGCTTCCCTTTTCTGACCTTCTGTGCTACCCACCTGACACAGACTTCTGCTCCTCACCAGGAGCAAGTGTTTGAACCTGCAGCAAGGGATGGCGAGTGGGGAGAGTGCTCTGGGGTGTTCAGCACAGCCCTTTCGAACCCAAGCAGAGGGCCTGTCGCCTCCCCGTTAGCCCCTAGGTGGCGCTGCTACTCCACGGGGTTGCAGGCTGGGCGGCTTCCAGTTCAGCCTGACAGGAGAAGCCACCCCGCAGGCGCCAGCTGCCCCTGCCCCAATCAATGGCTCTCACAGTCCTGGGAGCAGAGGCCATCAGAGCGCAGTGGCTTCACCGTTTCAACAAGGTTCACCGGGCACTTCAGCCCGTTCCCCGAGTCCAGGTCATGTTCCAGCCCCCCATTTGGTCCTGACAGGCTTCCCTGAGAGCTGACTCCTTTCCTCTCCAGGACACTGGGCCCTCCACCCCCCACACCCCCAACATACACACAGGCTGCATGAGCGTGCCCACAATCGGCCTCCAGCCCCAGCCCGCAACACTGCACAGCACAGCCCTCAGGCTGGTACGAAATCACCTTTATTCACAATCACAGCGGCCCAAGTTCACAAAGGAGGCAGCAGCTGCCCCCACACTAACAGAGACACAATGGACAGAGGCTTCCTCTCCCTGTAAGCCATGAAGCCACAAAGAAATCAAGACTTTTCTTTGTCTCTGAGATGGGGCCCCTCAGTGAATGGCGCCACCACCCTCCCTATCACCCACGCCCACAGAATAGGACTCCAGGGTCAGCGACTGGGGAGCAGAGACCCATAGTGGCCCGTAACCCCAAAAGCGCACCTCAAGGCAGGACAAACAGGCCCCGCCCACAGCGGCCCTCAACAAAGGGCTCCTGAACCACACAGAAAGCCCCTCCCACAGTCCCCTTTACAGAGGTGACAGCTGAGGCCCAGAGGGACTGTGACCTGGCAAGGCCCACGCCCCTGCCCAGGGGCCAGTCTAGAGCCCCTGCTCTGCCAGTGGCAGAGGGTCTCTGATGGAGATACAAAGCTGTCTGGGGCCAGGCGTCTGGGAGTTTGGGGAATGGGGGACACGACCCAGATCAGAGCTGCCGCTGCCCACACCAGTCAGTATAGGGTCTAGGGTATACTATGGGGACTATGGCCTCAGAGCAGCTAAGGGGCCCCTCACCTAAAACCAGAATAAAGAAGCCAGCTCTTTCCCGTCCCATCGTTCCTGGTAGTGTCGTACATTTCTTGGCCTCCAAGATGGGACCCCTGACTGAATAGGGGACACCACCTGCCCCATCTCCCTCAGCTCCCACAGGAGACCCCAGGAGGCGGTAGAGTCTTTCCTGAGAGCAGACTCCTCCAGCCCTATTTCCGATCAAAGCTGGGCTCCCCTCCTTCAGCCTTCCCAGAACTTACTAAGTCCTCAGGGAAGGGGGAGCTCCAGAGCCTCCCGATGTCTCTGAGTCAGCAATGACACCCTGCTGTGGCCCACAAAGGGCACTCTGGCTCTGTGTGACCCACCAGCCCGGGGCATGATGGAGGCGTGGCCTGCTTTCCTAGAAGACAGGCATAATTTACCAGGAGGCCCTTCAGTCCAGCCCCTTTTTATGGAGCTCCTGTTCACGGTAAGCAGAGCTATGGGCCCTGGCTGGAGTCCAGGGCGTCTGAGTGGTAACCACCTTGGCCACCTGCCTTCTTCCCACATACAAGGGCAACATTTCTAGGGCCCGGAGGATAGGAACTCACCCACACAAATACAGAAAACAAACAAAAACTCCAAATAAATAAATAAATTAAAGGGAAAAGCTGATCTCCCACAGGAGGTGTCCCCACCCCTCAGAGCCCCGGCCTCTCCTGGGGATGCTCCAGGCTCCAAGCACCAGCCACACCCAGGACAAACTGAGATGTGGGAAGACAGGTCACAGGAAGTAGATGCAAACCTGTCTTGAGACCTGACACGAGGTGGACCACGCTCTGCAACCACTCCAGGGACAAGCTGCCCACACTTGGCCCTGGGCGGCAGCACTCATTGAGATGACGGGAGCAGAAAGGCGACCCAGGAAGGGGGCCTCCACTTCTCAGGCAGGGCAGGGGGCCAGGGGCCCCGAACCTGGACCTCAGCAGCCTGCTGTCCACAGGAGCAGGAGCGGGCATGGCACGAAGGCTGCCACGGCGCCGGTGGGAGGCACACACTGGTCCACCCCTGGCTGCCATCAACAAGGGGCGGGGAGGACAGGAAGTGGGTACAGGTCTGGATAAGGCGCTGCCTGCTGAGTGAGCAAAAGAGGCCAAAGTCCAGTCTAACGCTACTGGCCAAGTCACCTGTCCTGGCTCACAGTCACGTCTGCCCAAAGCAAGGGACACATTGGCAAGAGGGGCCTCCTAGAAATCTGCCCAAGATGGGGAAGGCTTAGGGCACTGAGCCCCCAGTCTGGCTCCTCGGCATGCAGGAAAAGAAGGTGAACAACTCCCCTCCCCTCTGCCAGGCGATTTGCTTCTGCCCGCCTCCCTGCCTGCTCCCTCTTCCTCCCCGAACCATCAGGGGCCAGTTTCCCATGTTTAATGGAGAAGGGAAAAGAGTTTCCAAACAAGGAAGAAGAGAAGGGGCCCTGTGGGCTTGTCCCTGGGCTAAGGTCCGCAGAGGCGGGTGCCCGGCGGGCTAGGAGCTGCGGTAGGTCTTGATGATGTCCTTGATGGGGCGGCGGCAGATGGGGCAGCAGGCATGGAGAGCCTTCTTGAGGCGCAGACCGCAGGCATAGCAGACGCACATGTGGCCGCACGTGTAGATGACCGTGTCCACTGCGTGCTCATAGCAAATGGTGCACTCATCGCTCCACTGGCCTGTGCCTGGGGTCACTGGCGATTCGGGCAGGCTCACGGGTGAGTTGGGGGCTGTCCCTGGGGACGAGGGGATACCAGTCAGGGGTGACAGGGTCCAGTCCAGTCCCAGATTTTTGGAAAGAGAACCCCCTGGCCTTGTGGCCTCCGCCTATTTGTCAGAGTCTGCCTTTTCCTGCTCTGATGACCCAACTTTCTGAGCATGAGGAAGGAGAGGATACGCTCTGGGAAGTGGCCTCTCAGCCTCCAGATGAGGGCCAGGGTGAGGTGTGAGGAGGCCCCAAATCTTTTAAAGGCAGGTCCCAATGGTTACTCTGGTGTTCCCTGGAGAAAGCTGCCCAGCTAAGGGTCAAGACAAGCTGCACCCAGAAACCACTCCCTTGTGGGTGGTGGCCACTGAGTCTCCAGCCCCACTGGGGCCCCAGTGCTAATCCAGAGGCTGTACCCTGCCTCCGCCTAGGGGCTGGAGGCGGGAGGTCCGGCACAGCCGTGGAACTAGAGGGGCCCGCTTACTCACCGCCGGCCGAGCCACCCAGAGGTCCAGAGCTGCACGTGCTGAGCAAGGGGTCAGAGAGGCGGCTGCCCAGGGCACTGGGTGAGGTTGGTGTGGAGGCAGGGGAGCAGGGCAGTGATGGGATGCCCCGCTCTGCCAGGATGGTGGAACCTGCGGGAGGGAAGGGAAGGACACACTAGCCCCTCAGGTCAACTAAGAAAAGGTCTCCAGGAAAGAAAATGGGCAGCCAACCCCCAGGCGCTGCTCAGGATTCCACTGGCTGGCTCAGCATCCCGCCCCAGCTCTCTGCTCCCCCTGTAAACCACATGCTCTGGTGTGGTTACATCAGTCGCTTCCAAGCTAGCCCCTTGCCTAGAATCCATCCCCCTCCAAGATTCCTGTGCCAGAGAACAAAGTCACCTTCACCCTTTACGCCCTACCCTCATCGCTGTCCAGCGCCCTGTGCCTTCCCTCGCTGACCCCAGGTATCAGCCACATTCTCTGCTGCTCTCACATCTTTGGAAAGTCCTTCGACATCTCCGCTCCCACTCTTGCTCTGGTCCTACATTCTTTCCTTCCTTCCTTCCCTCCCTCGCTCCTCTCCCTCTTCCACACCTCATTTTCCTCTTCCCAGACTTTCTGCCTTGCTCCCTTCCTTCCTCCATCCCTCTCTCCCTCCTCTTTAAATCCTTGCCCACAGTGAGCTAACTGCTGGGGGCACTTCTTGAGACTGTCCTCAAAACCCCTCTTCTGGACACCCCGGACTCCCCACCACCACATTATCAAGCACTGACCTGCCACATACCCCACATACACAGGACTAGACAGCCAGAGCCTGGAGTAACCTGTTCTCTGCCAAGAAATCCAGCTGTTCCCCCAGTTAAACCATGAGCTTCCTGAGCGGGAAATCTTATTAACCTTTCACTCTTCCACGGGACCTAACATAACACCTTACACCCAAGCAGGTTTTCAATGAGATCTTTTTATTAGAAGTTCTTAGTTCTAATTCAGTTAATAGTCTTACTGTTTCTAACATTATTCATTATGTGTCCACAGGGTTTCCTTATTTCTATTAATAGTTTAAATTATCAGGTCCTCCTCTCAGAAATACGTACCTCCTATTTGCTTTTCCTGCCTTATTACACTGGAAAGCCTTTCGGAACACTGCTGGAAGGTGTTACTACCCTACTCCTGACTAACGAGAGTGTTTCTAGCATTTCACTAAGTATGAAACTCGCTATAGCCATTCTTAGTTCACTTAAGACTTCAGCAATGCAAAACATATCTCTGTAAAGTAAATAATTACCTTTCTACACTGTCATTCATTTGCTTTTGCTTTGCAGTATGTCAGGATTCCCTAATACCAATTAGCTAGTTGAGATGCCCAAGTCCCTGAACAGCTAGCTCGGGAGTGCTTTGCTTAGATACACCGAATTCAGATGATTATTCAATGCCCACCTTGGTCCACCTACCTCTCGGAACATTTAAGTCCTGATTTTTTTAAAGCTTCTCCCTTGCTTTGGGCAATAGAAGTTTCTATAAGCCTAGTAAGCCTCTTCTGGCAAGTCTTGTTGGAATGAAAAGCTACTTATCTATTATTGGATGGTGCTGAGGCAAGAGTTTACCTTGCCCTTATGTAATCTCCTGTCTGGGGAGCAGTATTCCCTGGTAAGTGTAGCTAAATACCTTTTAACCTCAGCCTGATTTTTTTTCTGTGCCCCTATCTGATTACTTTTCTATCCTGATTCTTCACCCTGATTTCCCCCCTTCCTGATATCTTTTTATCCAGCCTGATTTCTTCTCATCCCATCCTGACTCATCTTTCCTCAATTCTAACTTCCTAGCATCCCGTTCTTCTTTCCCTTCATCCCTTTTGCAATTTATTCTTTACTCCATCTTCTATTCTCTTTCCAGAATAGGAAGTCCCACTCATTTTATGTGATCTCAGAAACTCACACATACACTATCATCAACAGCATGCCATACACAAATATACATCACTCAGTGATCACATGTGTCTTGTACAGTGTGTTGATCTTATAGCATAACTCAAGCACACTCGTGTAATCTTATCTACAAAGTTTCTGGGGTAAGGTCTAGGTCTCTGAAATTGCCTAAGCAGATTTGCTTCAAAAGAACAACTCAGATGCTTATGACCTATCCAAGATCTAAAGAACCAGTCTCTGGGGGAGGGATGCAAGACTGCACTTCAGTGAGTCTCCAAGTGAGTCCAGTGGAACAAGCCCATGCCAGCAGCTGGCTAGCCCAGAAATCAGAAAGCAAATACCTGTTCACTCTGGGGTAGCAAAGGTCCCAGGAGAGGCTTTGTGAAAACATTTGCACACCATAACCCCTCCTTAAAGATTCATACCACTCCTTCTGAGAAGTTCTGCAACCAAGAATCCCTTGTTTTTCTTCGAGTTGGTATTTCCCAAGCTTTCTAGACCCAAGGATCATTTTCCAAAGGACACCTATCCTACAGAATTCTTTGACTTACACAAGTCCACATCCCTCCCCCAGGTCATGTCCACTGTCCACTCAAACCCAGGAAAGGAAGCCCCAAACCTCTGCAACTTCCTTTGCACCCTGCTCAGAACCTGGCTACTAATACCCCAACCTATTTTTCTTATTTAGCTGCACAGCCCTCCTTAGAGATGGAGGCCTTTGGCCCCATTTTGAAGAAATGGAAATCGAGCCTCAAAAAGTTCATTGCTGGGGAAGCAAGGTTTCTCCCTTTGAAGTGACCCCGGGTGTGTGTGTGTCTGGAAACGTGTGTGTGCCTGGAACTGATTCACAGGGTCTCCCCTCCAGGGGGAACATCAGATGGGATCTGAAGACCACTGACTGGAAGGTCGCATCTCACCTTCAGGGTCTGAAGCAAGACGGCTGGGAGGTGAGGTGTGGCCTCTCATCTGGTCTGGGGGCGTCGCGGGGCGCACTCACCGAGAAGGCGGATCTGCGTGATGGCTCCGTGAAGGCCGAAGAGCATCCAGAGCGGCTGTGAGGAGTCCACGCACAGCTGCATGCCAGCGGCCGCTCCGTTATGGCTGAGGTGCAGCTCGCCTTCCGCGTTGACCACGAGGCCCAGGATGTCGCCGCTGTGCAGGGGCCCGGGCACGCGACACACGGCCCAGAACTCCTTGCGGTCCACCAGGGCCTCGGGGCTGAAGGGCAGGTCCGACGGCCGCAGCGTGCCGGGGTCGCACGTCGTGACGCCAAAGGAGAGCGCGCCCGGCCGCGCGCCGCCACCGGAGCGCGTGACCTTGACGAAAATGGTCTCGGCCACGCGCACGGGCCGGCTGGTGAAGACGAGCGCGCGCTCGTCGCGCCCGTGCTCCAGGCGCGCCACCGTCTGCTCGTCCAGGATGCGGACGTGCGCGCCGGCGCGCAGCGCGTGGAAGCGCAGGTCGCCGTCGAGCTGCGCGGGTAGCGCGCGGCTGTGCTGCGAGTTGAGCGAGTTCTGCGGGATGGGGCAGCCGGCGGCCGGCAGGGCCTCGTCCACGTCGGCGCCGGGCACGTTGAGGTCGCACAGGCTCACGGAGAGGCGCGCCTCGTCGGCCTCGCGCCGCAGGGACGGCCGCCTCAGGGCGGTGAAGGAGCGTGGCCGCAGGCAGTCTGGCAGCACCAGCTCGCTGTCTGCAGCCAGGGAGGGGAGAGGCAGCGGTCAGGCAGCGCCCCGTCGGTCCAGCCGCCGCCCTAGACTCAGAGCCGCGCACTCAGACTGTCAACAGCAGAGAGTGCGCTGAGGGCAGTTAGGCAGGAAGGGAATGGGCTAGCGGGAAAGACAAAAACTGAAAGCACAATTGCTCTACAGCATTGTGGGGGGACAAAGGTGAGGGGCGCCTTGGTTTGTTATTGTAATTTAACCCCTGGACTCTCCGTCTTTATCCCCGGCAGTAGCACAGGGCCAGTACTGAGGCCACAGTCAATATTGTGGATGCAATTCCGACTGGGATGTCAGAGGAACCTCCTCCGCCCCAGAACCCCTTTCTGTGAAAATTGCCTCAGCGTATCCTAACAGTTATCATTTGGGGTTATCATTGCCACAGAAGGACGCTGAGGCTGAGACCAACTAAGTAAATTAATCCATGATAACCTCTTGGAACTTGAACCCTCTCGCTTTTTAAATCAGACGAGTCTGTATTTTGTAGAAAAGACAGCGCAGCTAAAGAAAAGATTCACCTGTCAGCCAGGAAAAAAACTCGGTTCATATTTGGATATTTGACCTGTCAGCCTTTTTTCAATGCATGCTACTATTTTTAAAATACAAAAAGTGAATCTTGCTCTATAAACAGCAGTAATTTGTAACCCTGTGAACATGGATAACTCCTCAGAAAAATGCACGTTGTCCCTGAATTCTGTGGATAATGTCATGGCCTCTGTGAACTGTACAAAGCGATCCAACGTCACGGTTTCCAGGCGAAAGCCCTACTATGCAGATTTTCTTTTCAAAACTCACATTTCTACTTACTAAGTCTTGAACACCTTTCCATGCCGATAACCATGTTTCTAACACCATATTTTTTAATGGCTCTGTTATGTCCTGCTTTATGGAGTTCCATAACTTGCAATAAAAGCCATCACCATACTCAGTGTATTACCCCGGTTTTGTCCTTAAAGTTGCCCAAGGAAATCATGGAGGTTCCCATTGTACAGATAAAGCTCAAAGATATTACAAGCCAGGACTGAGACAGGCCCGTCCACCTCCCGACACTGCATTCTTCTCATTCAGGCCTTCCCTGCTTACTGAGTCCCTTCTGCAGGAGTCAAAGTATCCAAATTTGGCTGGTGTCACAGAAGGTCACATCATGGGCCAGTCCCTCCCGGACAGCCTTTTCTCTGGGCCTCGGAAAACCCTGTCTTTCTCTCCAGGAAGTGCGTGAGGATGGCTAGGCTGTCCAGGTGTCCGGAGTATGGGCAGCAGTGCCCAGAAGTCCAGTCTTGCTGAATGCAGTCTTGAAAGCCTCCCTATTGTTCCCTTCCTCACGCCCCACCCCCGTCCCTTCCAGGAAGTGTTGTTTGGACCCAAGCAAGGAGAGATGCTGGATCCTCCCCCAAGTCTCCTGTCTCTCTGCAGAGAAGCCTTTTGGGACCTGGCTGGTTGGGATTTCCCAGCATCGAGCTTGGCAGAGGAGGAGGGAGCCAACCGGAAAATGCGATTATTCCACGGAATTGACTCTGTGATGGCAATGATGCAGAGGCTGGAGGCTATGAAGAAGCAGAGTGTGGAGGGCCTGACAAGGCGGGGAGAACTGGGGAGGGCTTAGTCCAGGGAGCAGCCTGGATCCCCTCAGGGATTCCAGGCACTGGGCCTTGAGGATTCAAAGGATTGAAGACAGGAGATGGATGGGGACAGCAGAGTGAGGAGGAAAGAGTGAGTCAGAGATGCACTGCCAGGGCCTACGGGAACAAGGCTGTCACAGGGGTCCACACACCTGTGTGCTCTCACACACCTATCCCCACCCCTCTCGGGACATTCAGTCCTGATCCCGTGGAACCAGCCAGACCCTCAAAACACATTTCTGAATGGAGCTAGATATCACCTGCTCTGTTTTCTGTCCCTTCAGGCATCCTCTAGGTGACTATCCCTAGTCACCTCATCAACCTCAGGGTGACTATACCCACTACCAGATATTCACTGTCTCCCAGGAAAGCTGTGCCCCTATTGAGCTGCTCTGTCTTCAAACGTGTTTCCTTCTCTCAATTCAAATCTGCCTCCCTGTATTTACACCAATACCTCTGGAGCTGCCTCTCAGCCCCACAGAGAAAACAGCTCTCCTCAGGAAATACACCCCACATACTTCCACCTTTTGGACAATGAACAGAACAGACTCTGTTCCAGATAGGCTCTGGACCAGCTCTCAAGGTATGGTGTGACCATCACCACCCTTGATATGCACCTATACATCTAATAATGCAACCTAAGAAATTTTTAGGCTTTTTAGTAACCAAAATCCATATACAAGTAGACAAGATAGAAGCATCCTTAAGTGCAAAGACTTAGAAATCATCGGCCTGAGTTCAAATCCTGCTTCTGACAATTTTTTGACTAATGACTTTGGGAAAATAGCTTCCCCTCTTAAGGCCTCCCTTTTTTTCTTTTTAATTTATTTTATGTATGCATACACAACTAGGGTACAGGCCAGACAGAGGTGCAGGGGCAGTGAGAGAATTCACCAGAGGCAGATCGGGGAAGTACACTGCCGAGGGGAGCAGCAGGCTGTTCAGAAGAAGTCTGCCACACCAGGTGAGTCACTTCCCTGGCCAAGGATTGAATTCATGCTGAAGTGGCTACTGCCAGCTTCACAGTGCTGCGCTTTAACCTTTTGCACCACCAGAGAGGGCCCAGCCTCCCTTTTTCAGCAATGACATCAGAATTAAGAATCTGTATAAAATCTGCACGTTAACACTCTCCCGGAGGGGATACTGCAAAGATGAAATGGAATCAGCTACAAAGTACCTGGCACATAAGAAGCACGAGGTGAATATGAGCCACGCCAGGTGGCTCAGTGGAGAGTCCATGACACATGCCTGGGTTTCATCCAGCGCTTGACTGGTGGTCTGTGCGTTAGCAACATTCCTCCCTGAAGAACTAAGGTAATAATACCTGCCTAGGATATTGTTACAGGGGTTAAAGACAGCGTGGAAAGCACCTGGCTTCTAGGCACTTGGTAACTCAGGATACTAGTATTTGCCCAGGCTGTTTGTCAATAAAAGTCATGTGTACCTGCACTCAGACAATTCTCTTTTTGTCCCTCAATGTAGGACTTTAACCTCAGTCATGAAAGGCACCTGAGTCATAACCAGCAACATCACTGACTGCAGACCAGGAAGGAGATCAGAGGAGAAAAGGAAAAGGGGGAAGAGCGGTGGGTAGAGAAAGAGGGAGGGTGGGAAGAGGACCCTTTTGACTTTGTGTGAATATGGCTAGAATTGGGAGCATGAGCAGAGGAGATGCTGGGAAACAGTTAAAAACAGACTCCCTGGGGCCAGTGCCCCAGTCCAACTATGTCTTTTTCTCCATCCCCTCCACCCCGCAGGGTCAGGAGCAGCTGCAGGCTGCCAGCAAGCCCCAAAATAACCATCCATGGGCCCAGCTGCGCTGGGGCCCTGAAATAGATGAAACTCGAGATGGAGGAGCCGGTCAGGGCACCCTCAGCAGAGAGACAGCAAAAGTCACAGCCCAGTGAGCCGACATCAAGTCAGAGGTTAGGGGAGGGTCCCAGCTCGCCACACCATGGAGGACACCACGGGATAAACCTCAGCCTGGGACTGCACCACGGAGAACAGCCTGGAAAAGCCAACCAGACAACCCCAAGGCCCCAAGTAGTGGGGGGCCCACATTTGGAAGCAACAAGTTACGTAATCTCTGCCTGGGACCTGTGGTCACCCATTTTGGAAGTGTTTATGATGGGGAGGAGCAACACCAGGCGCAGAGAGAAGCTTCCGTGTCCCCCCTTTTAGGTGGAACTTGTCCAGCTCCTGACTAATCTGGAGCCTAGTGATGGTTCTGTAGACCTCCCGGGCCGGGACAGAACCACCAGACCCTGAAAAGACAGGAGGTCCAGGCCAAGCAGCTTCTCCCCTCAGGGTGGCACTTGGGGTACCCATTGACTATGTGCTCAGTCCTGGGGTGCCTGCAAGAGAAGCAAAACTGGGAGGCATGAAAATATTTGAGTACAGTTTCTTACAAGATTCTTAGTGTCTCGGGTAGACAGCACTTTAGAAAACAAGGCAATTCCTGTATCTGCCAAGTTCTCACCCAGCCTTAGCCGGGATGCCTGAGGACAAGGGGCGCAGCACCTACCCCCATCTCTCACAACAACGCCTGTTAGAACATCTCCCCTGGCGTGGGTCTGCATCCACTGCTGCACCTTCACTTCTTTAGGACAAATACCCCTTTCAGGTAAAGCTCTCCAGGTGAGGCTAAGGTCCCTTTTGGTGTCAGGGTGAATTAGAGAAGCCATCTTGGAAGAAACAAAATTTTACCAGGGCCCCACAAGATAAGACTTTGAATTGATAGAAAAGCGAGAGGCACTGGGTCAGGACACTGTTAGCAAATGGCTGGAGAAGTCGGAACCAGGCCAGAGAGGAGAAAGGGGGGAGGGACGGAGGACAAGGAGCCAACTCTCGCCCAGAGACCCCCTGTGCCCCCACACATTGCCAGCAAGCGCAGGCATCCCAGGCAGGGCCAGGCACTGATGCAGGGGGCCAGGGCAGGCGAGGGGCTCCTCTGAGGCAGGGCTGACCAGCAGCCTGACTTGTTTGTTTAGAATCTCACTTCCGGAACACTGGATAATCTTTAACGATGGTCAGCCGCCCAAGCGGCTGGCGGGCGTGTATCGGCCGCCCCTGTTTGGAAGGTGCTGCCAGCCGTTTACTGTCTCCATAAACATCCTCCTGACGGCAGCATCTGGCACAGGGCAGGGAAGGAGCTGGAAAGGCGGCTACATGACTTGTACCAAGAGTGGTCTCTCCACCCTCTGGACAGCGCCCTGAAATTCACACCCACATCTACCCTCTCCCTATAAAGTCAATCATGGGGAAACTACAGGAGATGCTCTTCCTGAGGTTCATGGAGGGAAGCACATACTGTCCCCGGATCATTTGATGATACAAACTTAGATTTATAGACTCTTCAGGCCACAGGATCTCAGACATAGAGGTTCTCAGAATCATCTTGTGCAGTGTTTCCGACTCTTCTTTTTTTAAGTAGTGGATTCCTTTGTCGAACAGGACCAAGAGGTCTGTTTGAGGCTTGAGGGGTGGACAAGAGCCCAACCATCTGCTTCTCTCAGCTGCTCAGAGAGGCCTCTGTGGAACCCCAGTGCTCCAGGAACCCCGCTGGAGAACCATGGATCTTGTCCTCTGAAACAGTGTGGACGCACTGTGTGACTTTCCCCGAGACCCAGGCTTGGCTTAAAGTCTGCTTCTCCAGTGAGAAACCTGGCTGGAGGGTTTAGCTTTCGGGTAGTGTTTTTAAGTTCGGTAATCCTTTTTAACCTTAAAACAATAGCCCTTCCCACTTGTGTAAACATGTTGACAGATCCACTAGCCTCATGCTCTCTGTGAGGGAAATGGAGCAGGGATGATGATGTGCAAATAACAGACCAGGCCATAGAGGCACAGAGAAGCTGAGAGACTTGTCCATCGTCAGTGACCGCCCTCCACACCCAAGGTCAAGTCCTGACTCAGCCAGGCCTCCTCCTCCTCCTCACAGCGGGCTTTGGGCAATGCAAAGCCCCAACTCCAGCCCTGCACTCACCCCGCACCATGGGTCCCCCAGTCTCTCCAAGCTCCCCAGAATTGTATCTCGGGCCAAAGAGACACTTTGGAAACATGAAATTGCCACTTGTGGACATTACAAACAGTCTGATGTTGGCAATTACACATGGACGCATGTTATATATCACGATGGTCCTTCTGACAGGAAACTGGAGCATACCATGAGCAACAAGCCAGACAAAGCCCTCGAGGCCAGACAAACCACAAGGCAGACCAGAGCTGAATGGGGTTGTGGTACTGGGCCGGGCTCTGACGTGCTGACCCTGTGGACCCAGGTGGTCAGTCTGTGCCCAGCACACGGGCTGGGCCTTGAGCTCTGGAAAGGTAAGCTCTGCTCTGGATGACACAGAGGGCCACAGCCCCCACCCTCGGAGGGTGTACAGGCTTACTGGGGGGACCAGATGGACACATATTTAGAGAGGCTGGGAGTAAAGCCGCTCACACTCCTGGGCTCCTGCGCTTAATCCCAGCCAACTACCAGCTGTGTGACCCAGGGCACATTGTCAGACCTCTCTGCGCCACGGCGTCCTTATCTGCAAAAACAGTACAATAATGGCTCTCTACAATGTGGGCCAAGCGGATGCATGGAGCGAGGGCCTAAACAGGACACAGGAGCAGACTGCCAGCACCTCTTAGACCTCTACCGCGTCAGGTGGCCGGGGGTGAGCTGGCAGCTAGAAAGGGCTTCCCAAGAGAGCAAAGGATTTGCCGTTGGGGGCTGATAAAATTGGCAGAATTTGGACTGAGCAGAAACGAAGTAGCTGGGAGAGTCTCTAAAACAGAAGGAGCTACAAGGGTTTTTTTAATCATGAAGAAATAAAAATTGTCAGAGAAAGAGATCACCACCAGCATCCTCAGCTTTCACCCATCCCAAGAGCGTAGTTCAGTTTCCTTAAACAAATATTTACCTTGCAGGCCTTGGCAGCCAAGCTGAAGGTAAATATTGGGTTGACCTGGGAAGCAGATGCCCTAGACGGTAGTGTGGTCCTTGGCCATGGCGGGGGTGGGGGGAGGGGGGGTTCAGACTCTGATGCTGCCAGGCAAACCCCGCTTGAGGCACTTGGCCCAGGGCTTTTATCCCCAGAGAGGTCTAGGCCTCTTATTGCAGGCAGCCAGGCTTGTCTGCTACCCTTAGAACTAACCGAGCAGCAGCCTGACCCACAAAAGCTACCATAAACAAGAGTCTGGACATATCTCCCCTCGGTCTTTTACCGAGACCAGGGAACCTGTGCACAGGGTGGGAAGATGCAGGACAAAGGAGCCTTTGGAAGTGCTCACCTAACACCTTCCTCAATTCAGTCACTACCATTTTGATGTAGCATTAAATCTCCTCACACTGAGCTTACACCCAGATCAGCATGGGAGATCTGACCAGTAGGGAAAATTTACTCAGGTCCCTCCTCATGTCTGCACCTTGCATTTCTCCATTGTCAACCACACTTGCTGCCATAAATGTTCTGTTCTCATGGTTTTCTCCCTCGTGATGAATACACAAACCTACAGCAATTCATACCCCCTCTCCAGTAGCCTGCTGCTGCTCCACTTTCTACCTTCTCCTCAAGAATCTGCTCTGGGCTAACTGCTAATTCTCTACCTCTGCCTATACACACCTCTCCTGTCTGAGAATTGTTCCTCCTCAGTCAATCCATTCTTTTCATCTCCCTTAGTTCCTGACTTGAAACTCATCTCCTACAGGAAGTCCTCCTGGATTGTTCTCCATATATGCCCCACAGTTTTATTCTTCAGCTACACTTAATTGCAGGATTGCAGGATTGGTTTTAGGTTGTCTCAGAGAAGTTACATAGTCTGTCCCTCAAAGTAAGCATTCCTCAGTTCTGAATTTTCCATTCTTAAGCCCTCAACCTGACCCAGACTAGTGCCTGGGCTGTGGGGGGTACAGAGGGGTATTCAGGAGTACCCTGTAAGTGAGTCTTGGCTCAACAGCTCTCTTCCAAGATCCATAGCTTTTCTTCCTGAGCCAACATTTCTGAGAGGAGCAAGGAAACCTTGGGATAGTTGCTTATCTCTCCAAGTATTAATCACCCCATAAAACTTGTGTTTATTTAGTTTCTGGCAGGGCCTTCTTCCTGGAGGTAGGAAGCTGTTATTCTTGGAGATACCAGCTCATGCTTGGGCCAGGGCGCCTCAAGGGAAGAGGGTATTCTACTGAACGCCAGCATGAGAAGGAGCCTGGAAGGCCCCTGGGGGCTGTGATGTGGAGACCAGCCAGTCTGGGTCGTGGTTAGAGCAGTGAGGGCCAGGGCCAGGGAACTTTCTGGAGGTGTTAACCAGGGAGGGGCGCCAGCCCCTTCCTCCAGTCTGTCAGGGAAAACAGTCAATCCGTCCATGACCTGGACTTGTGAACCTACCATGTGCCAGGTAGCCCTGGATGTCTCTAGTCTGAGAAGTAGACTTAGCCCAAATGGGGTTGGGAAGATGTTGGCCATAAGTTCCAGACAGAGGCAGGAAGGGATAGGGCAGCATTGGCAGAATATCTCTGGCAATGAGACACTAGTTTGGGAGAAATCACCCAAGGAAAAGACAGGCAGTCCACAAAGTCACCAAAACAGAGTGACTTCCTCAGAGAGGAGAAAAACTCAAGGGTGGCAGCTAAGGGCCAGGTTGAAAGTCCGAGGAGCCCCCTAGTGCCTTCTCTCCCCTTCCTCCTTCATCCCCACAGAACACTAGTGTGGGGTTGAACTTGTGGGGCTGGGGGGAGGAGGAACTGCACAGCCAGGAGATCAGGGGCTCACGGGGGGTGTGGCTGGCTCTGCCTTTGACCTGCTGCGCCTCCTGGGCTGCTCTCCCCCCGCCAGGCCCTGGAGGCTGCATACTAGGTTGCTACGGGGAGCAAAGCACCTGCTCGCAGGAAGTGCTCTACAGACTCGTTATGCCACCTAAAGCCAACTACTTCCTGGATGGGGTCCTCAAGGCCGCCATGTGTGATGGTGCAGGGTGAGACCTGCTCAGAGCCACAACCCAGGGGTCTCGGAGACAGAACTCTCACCCAGGCACCACTCACCACAGCTGTGGTCTGGGAAGGGGGTGCCCTGCTGTTTCCACGGAGTTTCCCGGAGTGGCCCACTCGGCCCAGGGCCACTCTCCGTGAGCAGAGGTCCCCATGCCTGGTGGTGGTGAGCACAGCAGCTGAGGTGGGCCCTGCACCCACGGGACCGGAGGGAGTGGCCACTCACCGAGCAGCTGCACGCCCCGCGTGAGGCCGTAGACGTCCACCAGGGCCCAGAGCGGGTCTGCCGTGCGGACCCCGTTGAAGAAGAGCATGGCCGCCGAGTCGTTGATGCGGTAGAACACACGGCCCTTCTTGTCCACCCAGAAGGCAATGATGTTACCCTCGTTGGCAAACTCTTCGGGCAGCGCCTTGGCCCAGAAGCCGCTCTGGGACACCAAGTCGGGGCAGGCGTACTTGGGCAGCGAGTCGGGGTGGATGCGGGACGGGTCCTTGCTCGTGAAGCCCAGGCGCAGCGCCCCGCTCCAGCAGCACTGTTTCTTGGTGATCTGGGCGGCAGGGGTTGGCTCAGCCCCCCCAGCCTCCCCCACCATCAGTGAGCCCCAGGGGAAGCGAGGCGCCCATCTCTGCACGTCACCCTCAGGCAGACCGCCCTGGGGAGTCCCACCACCCGCTGCCCCCCCCTCTGCAGGGGCCTTGCCCAAGAGGTCGTGAGGATAACTGCCCTCCCCTCCCCCTTTGCCACACAGGGAAGCTGGAGAAGCGGCAAGGAAGAGGGAGATAAAGAGGAGGCCGAGGGAGACCAGAAGAGGCAGCAGAGAGAAAGAGAAGGGCCAGGGTGAGGGTGTGGGGTGGCTGCATGCGGGGGACGCTCGGGGTACAGCGACGGGGGGCCGAGAGGAGGTCCCACCTTCAACCTGACTTGCTCGTAGATGAGAACCGGCCGGTTACTGAAGGTGATGGCGTTGCAGAAGCTGGCCTGCCTCTTGACCGCCTTGTGGCTGAGGTCCATGAGGATCTGGGAGCCCTTGGTGTGTGGGTGGAAGAGCAGAGGCGTAGCGGGGAGCCCCCCGCCCGACAGCACCGGGGGGCAGTGCTTCTGCTTGTGATGGCATCGGTGAGAGGTGGCGGGGAAGGAGCCTCCGATGGAATCTGGAAAGGAGCGAGCCACAGTGTGGGAGAACTTGGCAGTCCAAGAGCAAGAGGGCAGAGGGCCGGGACACAAGCCGAGGCCCGCAGCGCCACCACCATGCCCACCCACCACCACTGCCGCCTTGGGCCACCGTCTGCCCCCACGCACAGCTGCTCCCCACTTCTCCATCTGCCGCCACGCATTACCCACCACTGTCTTCACTCCGTTCACCCAGCTCCGCCCTCCACCACCACCACCGAGACCGTCTTCTGCTCCTCCTCCTACCGCCTACCACTGTGATAATTGCCACTTCCCACCCGGTCGCCACCATTCACTGTCACTCACCACCACCATTATTTACTTTGTTCAACAAATTTTCAGCATGGATCTGCTTAACATCAAGCCCTGGCTGAGCACTGGAGAGAGAAGCATGAAGCATACAGGGGGCCTGCCCTTTAGACGCCATCGGTCCAGGGGGGAATCAGACAAGAACAGAAACTGGGGTGCAAAGGCAGGCAGTATAAGGACAGGTCACGTCTCAGGAGGCCTCCTGGAGGAGGGAAGGAGGAGACAGCACTGGAGCTCAGCCCACGGGGCTGGTCTGCGGCCTCCACGTGACTGAGGCTCTGCCTACAAGCCAGCAGCAGGTGGGGGGCCTGGAGCCAGCCTCTGCAGGTCAGGCCCCTCCTGCGGGTCCTCCTTGCGCCCCTCGCTGCCACCCTGCTTCACATGCTGCAGCAGCGCACACAGATGGCTTCCTAGCAGAACGCAGAGCCACCTCCAGGACCGCTGACCGGCACGGCAGGGCACCCTCTTCCACAGACGGCTCCAGCCACACCCAAAAATGGGACACGGTTTGGGCCAGCAGAAGGCGCTTACAACACGTGAGGCTGGCATCCTGTCACACATCAGGCTTGTGGCCCTGGAGAAGTCACTGCCATCCCGGACACATGGGGGCCCCGGCCTGCGGCTCTGAGACCTCTCTCAGCAGCAGCAGGAGCATTAATGCACAGCTTTGGCGCCAGGCGCGACGCGAGGGAAGGAGAGGTGGTTTCAGTTCTTCCCCAAGATCTGTGTCCCGGCCACCGGGAAGGGCAGCCCCTACCTATCCCCTTCTCCGGAGGAGAGCGTGACTTGAAGGAGGGCGAAAAGAAGTGGGGAAGTAAAAAGTCACAGAATGTGACAGAGCCTTGTCAGATGTTTCAAATCCTAGAGGCTCCAAGACATGAATTTGATACAGAAAGCTCTGTCAGCATCAGGCCTGCCCAGAGGCCTCCCAGCCCCCCAAAAGGGAGAAGGGCTTCCAAAAGAGGGCCGGAGGAGAAAGGGAAAGGTCAAGGCAGCCAGAGTCCACCCAGGCCGTGTTCGCATTGTTTTGCATCAATTTGCATCTTTGCTTCCTCTTTCCCACAAGCCCCAGACACCGGAGTCCAGACACCAGAGTCCACAGTTCAGACACCAGAGTCCACAGTCCAGCATCAGCCAGACCCTGCACACTGGCCCCCAGGCCTCCCTGGAGCAGCTTCCTGCACACCATGGCAGGGCCCACAAGTGACGGTGACACAGGGGACCCTCACCTTGCTCGCACTCAGGAGATAAGAATCGACTTGCAGAACAGAGCTCACAGGGCCCTGAAAGCATACAGACCCTGAGGCGCCACCAGGGATGTCATCCCAGAGAAGGGACAGTGGGGTGAAGGGTGGAGATGGCAGTGGCTGCAGGTGCCTGCTGGGCTCTGCCATAGTTTGACTCTTGGCTTCCAGCTGACAGCAACCTACACATAATAGGGATGGGTACGAATGTCGAAAGAAAAGTGCAAAGAAAGAAAAGAGCTGATGGTCAACGGAGGGGCGCTGACACAGTGCACAACGGCGCCCTCCCCGCGGTCAGTGGGAGTGACCATGGCAGGAGCAGCAAAGTGGACACATGTGAAATCAGTGAAATAGCCAGTTTTGTTTTGTTTTGTGTTTTGAATTGTGCACAATCCAAGGTCCTTGGAGTGACGGCAGGGACTTGCTCTCTTTCAAAACTGCCTCATCCTCCACTTGTTCCTGCTGTATCAATTCGAGGAGACACAAACTAGAGTGATAACAAGCAGGTGGATGGCCGCCTGGGGGCCTTAGGGGAGCGGGAGGGCTGCCGAGAGGCACAGAGGCATCGTGGTGATGGTGTGTGCACCATCTTGATCTTGGTGACTTGAGACTTGGATGGTCCAAAACCATCCAATGTTAAGTTTAACACTTGTGATTTATTACACGTCAGTTAAGCAGTTTTTGAAAACCTGCTGAGCCCAGCTGCTTAGGTTAGATTAGAACCTCCCCGATGCCTGCTCAGAATCCTTGGGCCAATTGCAGGGCCTCACCGTCGTTCAAAACACATCCTCTCGGCCCCACTCACGCCAGATGGGGTCCTCACGCCTGGGTGAAGGCCTAAACGTTCGTTTGCATTAAACACATGCCCTTCCCATTTGTCGATGCCCGGCCCCAAACTGCAGTTTTTCAGAGACTTCCCAGCTTCATCCTCATAGCAAACACAGTAGGTAGGGACATTGTCAGTCCATGTTACTGATGGCAAATCTGAGCCTCAGAGATACGGAGTGGTTCGTGTGAGGTCACACAGTCAGCAGGAAGAATTCCAGGAGCCAAGCAAACTGACTGCAAGGTCAGGGTCTTAGCCGTGAGCATTAAATAGCCAAGAAAGCAAGGATTTGGTGTGTGGTCAGTAATTTTTTTAATGCACTTGAAAATGTGGTCGTACTGACATCACAGAAAAAAGGTTCATCCAAGTAAAGCCACCTCGCAGGGGACACCTGTCTTTCTGCTGCGTTCCTTCCAGGAGGCATGAGTGTAGGTGCTCCCATATGACCCTGACACGTGGCTGAGAGGATGCCAGCGCGTGGTGCAGTTTTGTGTGGAGACCAATGTCTCCCATACCTCCAGCCGCACACTCAGGGGCACTTACCAAGGAGTGCAGACATACACGAGGATCTGAACGCAAAAGCGCAGCAGTTTCAATCATCATCACAAGCACCAGAAACAACGCAAGACCTTCACCCGGCGAGCTAGCAGGTGCCGTGAGTACAAAGTGCAGGCAGAAGTGAGCAGGACAAGGAGCCAGCGACCAGGAGCAGGCTCAATGGAGCCAGACTCCTAAGGCCACGTGCGGCGTGACCCCACTGATAGGACCCTCTGAAGAAGACAAACGGCAGCGCCGGACCCGGTGGTGGACATCGGGGTTTGAGGCAAGCCGTGAGATTCCTGTGACAGAAATGTCCTGCATCTTTGTTGCTGTGGTCACACAACTTACACTCTTGTCAAGCACACCAGACTATACACTTACAAAGGATGAATTTTACTATGTATGAGCTAACCTCAAAGCCACAAGAAGCCAGGTCTTCCCTAAGTTTGAGGAAAGGGAGACTGGAGTCCTGGCCACAGCACAAGGCACCCCACCCCGGGAGTGCGGAGGACCTGGGCCACCTCGCAGGAGACCCCCGCAGCTGGCCGAAGCTGTCGCTCTAAGTTCCTCGCACATCCATGGATAGGGGTGCTTCCCCTGCCCTCCCTGGGTCCCTTACCTGCCTTCTCCTTTACCCTGCTCAGCTAATACTCGAGCCCAGCTCCTCTTCTCGCCCCAGATAAGGCATCACCTCCCATCTTCTCACCAGCTACAGGACCCCAGACCAGCCGTCACCTCTCAGAGCCTCCATTTCCTTATCCACAGTAGGGGACCCATTGGTACTCTACGGGTGCATAGCAAACTACCTCTAAAATCAGTGGCTTAAAACAACAAACATTTCATTATCTGTGCCTCAGGGTCGTTGACTTGGCTTAGCTGGTGCCACTAGCGGGGTGCCCTTGGTTAGGGTGCAGTCAAATTGTTGGCTGGGGGCGTGTCTCATCTGAAGACTTGCCTGGAGGGGACCCCTGTCCAAGCTTACTCATTTGGTATCTGCAGTCCTTGGTCCCTTGCCACGTGGGGTGTCTACCTTAGACATGGCAGCTGACTTCCCCCAGAGACAGTGACCCTTGATGGCGGCCAAAGTCTTTTTATAACCCAGTCTGGGGAGTGGCATCACATTATTTCAGCTACACTGAAATGTTAGGAGCTAGTTGCTAAGTCTGCTGGGCACGCAAAGGAAGGGGATTATTCAAGGGCATGAATACCTAGAGGTCCCGCTGGATGTGGGGCTCGCTGGGGCCAGCTTAGAGGCTTGCTTCCCTCAGATACCTCAGATGAGGTAGTATTGTTCTGAAGGCGGCTGGTGCAGTATTTGATACACAAGGAAGAAGTGGGACTCGTGGCCTGCTTTTTCCTGTATGCAAGTGGGTAGCTACTGCACAGGCTGAAGTTAGGCATATAGTATGAGATCTTGGTGCCGGGCAGTAAAGGAAGCTATTCGTTTAGTTCCCACTAATTTCTCCACAGGATACCAGGAAGGGCAAAGCACAACGTGGGTGTCCCCTGGACATTTAGCCATTGAGTAACAGACTGAAGAACTGATCAGTAAGAATGCAACAAGTCTTACTGCAACATCTGCTTCGTGCTCTGAGCTGGGCACAGGGAAGCAGCAGTCAGAATGACCTCTGTCATGAGGAGGTTCGCGGTCCATTTGGGAACCGGACAAATGACCCCGAAGCCCTTCTGAGCCAGAAAGTTGCATCTGGAGTATAAAACCCGCTCTGAGTGACTCAGACGGCACAGAAGAGAGCCAGCCCTCTCCTCCCTCCTTCTCCCCCTTGCACCCCAAGACTCTGGAAGGGGACTCCACACGATAACACTTCTGGGTCCCGCTCCCTCTCTGTCTCCTAGCACCTCTCCAGTACCCCAAACAAGACCTGAAAGAATGAGGGGTCAGGGCTCAGTCGCCAACATCCACAGACCATACAGGCCTCACCCTTCTTTCCCCTGCACAAACCCGCTCTAGTGCGTGTGTGCGCAGTCACACAGCTGGCGTGCCTAATGAGGACACAGCACCCAGGGGCACTCTGTCCCGGGTGCCTGCCGGGACTACAGGAGG